GGAAGTAATTTGGCTAAAGGGAAAAAAAAGCAGATAGGATAATATGACTGAGATGGAGAAAGAATTAACATAGCTATGACTGTCTTGTTTGTATTTATATATATATATATATATATATATATATATATATATATATATATATATATATATATATATATATATATATATTCAACATAGGTGAAAATATGAAGCTCCAACACAGGTGGTTAACTTGATAAGAGGCACTTAATCCAGTAAGAGATGTTCAATGCAGAATCAGGTTCCAGATGTCCATTTTGCAATCAATTTCAAGCAAGTTGGGTTTCATACAGTTTTATTTTCTGGGATTAGGTCAATTATTTTATGAGGTAACGATTTCTATAGCGGACTCTTTTTTGGGGGGGGGTCCAATCGTGGGGCCTGAACTCTGGGCCTGGGCACTATCCCTCGGCTCTTCAGCTCAAGGCTAGCACTCTACCACCTGAGCCACAGTGCCACTTCTGGTTTTTTTCTTTTTGCTTATGTGGTGCTGAAGAATCGAACCCAGGGCCTCGAGCATGCAAGGCAAGCGCTCTACCACTGAGCTACCTTCCCAGCCCTATAGTGGACTCTTATCTGTATGAATTCAGCAAGATTTCAAATCCCTGGGGTGAACTAAGGTGACTAAGCTCTTAAAGGAGAATAAAAATTCAGACCTCAGTGCTAAAGGTGTATTTACACCATTCAGCCTCCAGGGTGCATCCTGAAAACAGCACACGTTCACCCCTATTAAGGCATCCTTACTTGAGGATCTGTTTTCTGCCTGGTATCCCACTTGGTTGTTCCCATTTTTACAGCCACTGTCTACCACCCTCAGAAACATAAATGATATCTACTAGATTCTACTAACAGAGGCATAAAAATACCCATCTTTACAAAAAAATTTCCATAAGGTTAAAATGAGGAGTTATAGATAAATTATCTACTACCCCAAAAATCAGAATCTGCTTTTCTGAGAGTTCTGATCAAGGAAATCGCATGCATTGCTGATGAAGTGCACAAGCACCTGATATTACTAACAGACAATAGTCAGGATAGTAATAAATGCCCATCTGACCCCTGGTGTGTACCAACATGCTCCTATATACTCCCTTTGATCTTTGTGATCCTCATTCAGATGGGTTTTACTTCCATTTTCTGATGAAGTAAAACAAGACAAAGAGCATGATGGCTGATTAAGGAATTGGGTCTCTTGAAGATTTGATTGAACTCATGTTTGAATCTCTTCCTAAAGAAAATACTTTTCTTTTTCTCTTCTTTCTTCCTTTCTTTCTTTCTTTTTGTTAGTCATGGGGCTTGAACTCAGGACCTACGCACTTTCCCTGAGCTCCCATCTTCCCTCCACTCACCACCTCTAGGCTAGCACTTTGCCACATAAGGCACAGCTCCACTTCTGGCTTTTGGGTTGTTAATTGCACCTAAAAAGTCTCACAGAATTTCTTGCCTGGACTGATGAACTCTGATCCTCAGATCTCAGCCTACTAAGTAGTTAAAATTACAGACCTGAGCCAGCAAAGCCCCGCCTAAGATAATTCTTTAAAATACTCACATGGAGCTTTTAATACACCCACCTAGGAGAATATTAAAGGAATTCTAGAAACCACAGTGCTGTGGCTAATGCTTTTCTTTTACCTTTGCATTGGCAGGGATATTCTCTTCCTCTTTAGTGATATACTCTGTCCATGCCTCCCAATGTCCACCTGCTTGTTTGACGAAATAAAAATCATAGACGCTTCCTGGACCCAAAGAAACAGAACAGGCCCTTAAATACAATGACTCACATTTCTTATTGGAGGTATTTGACCCTTTAACTATAGACATCCAAAACATATGACTAGTCTTGGCATAATTGTGGTGAATTGTACATGTTGCCAGTAATTGTCAAAACTGGAGCAACATTTTAAAGAGGAATAACTTCATTATTTGTATAAAAATGATAAGTGCTGATTATGGAAGTGATTAAATGATTCTGAATAAGCAAAACAGCAGGTATGAGAAAAACAACAGCAAAATAAATGAAGGCAATAAGTCATTCCAAAAAAATTTTTTTTTGGTCAGTCGTGGAACTTGAACTCTGGGCCTGTGCGTTGTTCCGCAGCTCTTCAGCTCAAGGCAAGCACTCTACCACTTGAGCCACAGCACAACTTCCAGTTTTCTGGTGGTTTGTTGGAGATAAGAGTTTCATGGACTTTCCTGCCCAGTCTGGCTTTGAACCATGATCCTCAGATCTCAGCCTTCTAAGTAGCTAGGATTACAGGTGTAAGCCACCAGCGCCCAGCCAGTCATTCCAATTCTATATCCACAAACAGCTTCCTTTTTTTCTTTTTATCTTGACCAAAAGTCCATCAGTGATACCATTTTATTTTCTTAAATGAGTTCAAGCAATGATATTAAATAAAATAGAGCTAGATATCAAACTATGCCAATCATTTAACCAAGCCACATGAAATTATGCACAAGCATAGAAATAAAGTAGAAAAATGTCCCATGAAGTCAGGGAAGGCTTTCCTGAGTAATCAAATTTAGAATTATAACCCTGAGCCCTTGTGAAAAGGCATTTGAACTTCTCAAAGATAGTTTTAAGAAAATGCAATCAAAGCCAGATATAAAATGTCACATATTACATAATCTCATGTTTACAAAATATTAAAAAGAAGTCGAATCTGCCAGATACCAGTGGCTCATGCCTGTAATCCTAGCTACTCAAGAAGCTGAGATCTGAGGATTGTGATTCAAAGCCAGCCAGGGCAGGAAAGTCTGTGAGACTCTTATCTCCAATAAACCACCAGAAAACCGGAAGTGGCACTGTGACTTAAATGGTACAGTGCTCACCTTGAGCTGAAGAGCCCAGGCCCAGAGTTCAAACCCCATGACCAACAACAACAACAACAAAAAAGACAAATCTACAGAGAGAAGATTATTGGTTGTCTGTGGCTGAGGGTGAAAATAGGGACTAGCTGCAAATAGTCATGAAGAGACACTTATATAGGGATGAAAAAAAGTTCTGAAACATAAGCCTTCCTCTTTTTAAGTTGATTCTCTCAGATATTTGTTACTGTACTGGAAAACTAACCAGCATAAAATGAATCAAGAGACTGAAGAAAGGCAGGAAAGTACACTAGGTATCTCTCCAGTGGTTGCCTAAAGACAGAAGTGCACATTGCACAGAAAATTAGGCAGACATCCACCTGCTTGCTAGCTACTATTCTTGTCTTCCCCTAACTAGGCTGGTTTTCCCCCTGTAGCCAAGAGAGCAGGAGGGGCCCAGACCATAATGGGTAAGAAGATTGTCATGACACCTTAAATTCAGTGCAGCATGCCCCTTCAAAGTAAAAAGCCACAGAACCTCTCTGTTGAGGATTTTCCATTGTCTTGAATGTTCACAGATGAAACCTATCTAGAAAAGATGGCTTCCAACAGATGGAACTGGTTGATTCCATGTGGTCATTGGATCTTGGCCATTCCACTAGTCATCCATGTAAGAGCAATGGTTTATTGCATTTGGGTTCATTTTAAAGACATTTTATGAATTATATTTGCCTTGATCATGCCCAGAAGCAGCAATGAGTCTGAAAACTAGCAGGAAGAAAGTATATATTTCTCATGGAAACAAAAGTAAAGCCTAACTTTATCTGGATGTGTTCATGGTGGTTGCTTGTAAAATGACATTTTAGTCTTACCAACATCTTTCTGAACTAAACCTGCTTTTAAATAAGTAGTTGTTGCAAAAAAGATAGATGAAGCAAGTTAACAACAATATGTGCTGGGAATTATGCCTTATTGTTTGTGTGTGTGCCAGTGCTGAGTTGGAACTCGGGCCTGAGAGTTCTGTCTCTGCCCCTGACCTTTTTTTTCCCCGCCTCAAGGCTAGTGTTGTATTATTTGAGCCATTTCTGGCTTTTCTGATGGTTAACTGGAGATAAGAATCTCATGGACTTTCCTGTCTGAGCTGGCTTCAAATCATAATCTTCAGATCTCAGCCTCCTGAGTAGCTACGATTACAGGTAAGAGCCATGGGTACCCAGCAATGATGGCTTCATTTATGCTACATCATGGAAGGGGAAAGGAAAACATCACAGGACAAGGGATGTTATAGGGGAAAAGTTAGAAATGTGGCGGAGCTGTACTGGTCCTCTTGTTGTAAAACAGCAGAAATGATGTTATTACAAAGGGAGCCAGAAGTGGGATCAGTGGTAACTCATAAACCATCTCTATAGTTTCAGAGCACAAACAGATCAATCTTGGATGATGAGAAAAATTTAAAACAATATATGGTCTAGGTGAAAAAAAATTGCAATGTAAAGGAATATAATGTAAAGATTAGCCTGAAGAATATATTTCTGAAACTTGTTCAATGCATGATTTAAAACCAGTTTCAGTAAACTGTTTGGCGTCTTCTATAAGGCATAAAAAGATACCATTTTAAAAAATGAAATAGGACCATAAAGCCATTGGAGAAAATTAGCCATAGGAGAAATGGTGAAATGAGATGAGCCAGGTGTTGATAGCTCATGCCTGTAATCCAGGCTACTCAGAAGGTTGAGATCAGAGGATCAAGGTTCAAGCCAGCTGGGGAAGGAATGTCCATAAGACTCGTATCTCCAGGTGGACCCGTTGCAACAATGAGAAGTACAAGTTGTCATGTCGAAAACGAACTTTACAACTTTGGTTGTGGGGGGGGGAGGATTGGATAGGGGGGGCAGGAGGAGGCTGGGAAGGGATGTGAAGGGTAAACAAAGGAGAAGGCTGCAATGCTTGATAAGAAATGTACTCATTATCTTGCCCATGTAATTGTAACCCCGCTGTACAGTATGTTCACAAAAAATAAAATAAATTAAAAAATAAAATTAAAAAAAAAAGCCAGAAGTGGCACTGTGGCTCAAGTGGTAGAGCACTAGCCTTGAGCTGAAGAGCTGAGGGACAGCGCCCAGGCCCAGAGTTCAGGCCCCATGACTGGACCCAAAACAAAACAAAACAAAACAAAAAAGACTCGTATCTCCAATTAATCAGCAAAAAACTGGAAGTAGAGCTGTGGCTTAAGTGGTAGAGCACTAGCCTTGGGCATAAAAGCTCAGTGTCCCTGCCCAGGCCCTGAGTTCAAGTCCCCAACACACACACACACACACACACACAGACATAGAAAAATCCAGTGAGAAATAATGTTGGTGATAATGTTGACGATAAATACAAACTAATAACACTTATTTAACACTTTCAACATACAATGTTTTAAAGGTTTTTTTAAAAGAGCTTTAAATATTAAAAAGTCATTTTACTGCTATTATTACGGTGTTATAGAGAGGGACTACCATTTCATAAGTCAGGCAATGAACACATTTTTTACATGTAATAACTCATATAAACCTTCTAAGAACCACAAATATCTTCTATTTTTATTTGTATACATTTTGTAATTGTGGAAACTGAGGAAGGTTAGGAATTTACTCAAAGTCTCCCAACTAGAAAGAGTTGGAGCCAGAATTCCAGTTCTAACAATTTCATCCCACAGCCTGTGCTTTTATTATTATTATACTAAGAAAACTGGCAAAGAAACAAGATGTGAGGGCAGAATGAAAATCATCCAAGGTAGTGAAGAAACAAATTCAAGTTGTGGGAGACTGATATTAAAATAGAAAGTCTGCCTAGAAAGGGCAGAAACAGAAAAAAAAAAGAAGATAATCTATATAGAAGCCAGAGAATAAAAATTTTCCTTTGGACTAAACAGATGCCTCACATTCCAAGCAGAATAAATAAAAGAGGAATTGTGTCTAGACATAGCCTGTCAGAATAAAAACAAACACAAAATCTACAATAGTACATTAAATAAAGAACACATGAGGAACAAATTACCACTATATGCAAAAAATGCAACTTCGCTTCTAACTAAAAGAAGAAAAAATTGAAATAAAAAAGCGAAGAAATGATTTTATGTTCCCATTTCAGATGAGCCCAGAATGACAAAATATATGAAGCAGAATGCAGAGTGTCAAGAAGAAAGTGACAAATTTGGTATTATAGTTGGACACTTCAACACCCCTCTGTCAGTGATTGACAGTCAGAAAATGAGTGAGAATATACTTAAAACTTAACTGAATATAAATGACATGGAGGGATTCATTTCTCTGACAACAGCAGATAACATTCTTCTCAAGCTCACAGGGAACCTTCTCCTTGGGAGGCTGCCATTCTTGGCCATAAAACATTTTAGCACACTTAAAACAACAGATAACCATTGTTGGGTGCTGATGGTTCTTGTCTGCTATCCTTGCTAGTCAGGAGGCTGAGATCTGAGGATCACAGTTCGAAGCCAGCCCAGACAGGAAAGTCTGTGAGACTATTGCCAATAATCTACTAGGTAAAAGCCAGAATTAGAGCTGTGACTCAAGGGGTAAAGTGTCATCTTTAAGCAAAAGAAGCTCAGGGACAACACCCAGATTCTGAGTTCAAGCCCCAGGACTGGTACACACACACACACACACACACACACACAATGAAAATATTCTGGATATGACAAGTGTTTAACACCACAAAATTGTATATTTTATATATTTTAGCAAAATAAAAATGAACAAAATATTTTCCCAACTATTGGATCTAAATGGGGCTGCCAATACTCTGGTTTCTCTTCAGATGGTATAAATCTTTCACCTTTTACTAAACAGGGCTGCCATGTAATTCATCTGACATTATATCAGAAGAAGTGGGCTGGGTGGCAGAAACAAGATTGTGAATACACACACTTTTGTGTGTGTTGTACTGGGGATTGAACTCAAAACCTGGCACTGGTTGTGCATGCGCTTGAGCCACACACCTAGTTATTTTGCTTTTATTTTGTTTTTCAGATAGGGTCCTGGCCTCAGACCACAATCCTCCTTCCTCTGACTCCCACATAGCTAGGACTGTAAGCATGCACCAAAATGCCTGGCTCTGTTTATCCTTTTATCATTACGAAAAATTTCAACCATGGAAACTGACAATATTGTACAATGATTATTTGTACACCTACCACTTACATTTTATATTTAGTTCTTATTTTTATGCGTATCAGTTCTTCTCTCCAATCTTACTCTTTTGAAATATTCCAAAATAAATTATAAATATGTGTATAGTTCTGCATAAAGATGTTAGCAATATATCATTAACTAGGGTTCAAATTTTATTTATTTTTGGAATAAAATTTATAATACAATGTACCCATTTTGAGCTAATTTTCACAAAGTTTGGCCAAATATACATACCCATGTAATCTAAGTCTCTTAATATACACATTATTCTCACCTTTGGAAGTCCCCTCATGGCTTTTCATACATTCTTTCTTACAAGTACAAAAGGTATCTGGGCACCAGTGGCTCATGCCAGTAATCTAGCTACTTAGGAGGCTGAGATCTAATGATCAAGATTTGTAGGCAGCTAGGAAGGAAAGTTCCGTGAGTATTTGTGTGTGCCTGGGTGGATGGGGTGGGAAGGGGTGAGTGTGTGTTGGGGGGTATCCTGGGACTTAAACTCAGGCCCTGAACTTTTTACTACTAGAGTCACAGCCCTACTTCTGGCATTTTGGTGACTAATTGAAAATAAGAATCTCAGGGACTTTCTGAAACTCTTTATCTCCCTGAGATTCTTAGCTCCAATTAACCACCCAAATGTTGGAAGTAGGTGTGGCTCAAGTTGTGGTGCCAGGGACAGTTCTCAGGACCCTGAGTTCAAGCCCCAGTGCCGGCCTTAAAAAAAAAAAAGGTACAACTGTTTTTTTTTCTTATGGTATAAACCTCTCCTTAAGTTATAGAAATATAGAAAAATAAACCTAAAAAACTAAAAGTACCCGGGCACTGGTAACGCACACCTGTAATCCTAGCAACTCAAGAGACTGAGATCTGAGGATTATGATTCAAAGCCAGCCCAGGCAGGAAAGTTAATGAGACTCTTTATCTCCAAAGAAAACATTAGAAAACCAGAAGTAGAGCTGTGGCTTAAAGTGGTAGAGCACTCTCCTTGAGTGCAGGGACAGTGCCCAGCCCCTGAGTTCAAGCCCTACAACTGCCCAAAACAAAACAAAGCATAAAAGTAAAATTTCTGGGGCCTGGGAAGGTGGCTCAGTGGTACAGTGCTTGCCTTGCAGGCATGAGGCCCTGAGTTTGATTCTTTAGCACCACATAAGCAGAAAAAGCCAGAAGTGGCACTGTGGCTCAAGTGGTAGAGCACTAGCCTTGAGCAGAAGAGCTCAGAGATAGCACCCAGGCCCAGAGTTCAGGAACTATGACCCACCAAATGAAAACCCCAAACAAACAAACAAAAAAAAAACAAAAGTAAAATTTCTGGATAATGAATTTTTAAAGTCTTATTTTCTATTTCCTTCTCTGTATTTTCTAAATTTTATACAGTATATTAGTAGATGTTAGGAAAAAGTATAAAAGGCATTTAAACATTTCATTTGAGTAAAGAATACCACTCACAGAAGAGCATTTTTAGCCATTAGTCATTTTAAAGATTTTGTAGCAAAATTGAAAACATTTTAACATATTAGGCTATAATGCCAAAATTAAGAGAAATATTAATATCACAGCTGCCATGATATGTATCAGATAAACAAATAATACAGGACTAGAAAAGAGTGGGGGGGAAATCACCACTCTGTTTAGGTGATGGATTTATGGGTAATTTTTGTAAGAAAAACAAAAATATACACCTGAAGCTGGTGTTGGTGCCTCACACTTGTAATCATAGTTACTCAGGAGGCTGAGAGCTGAGGATCACAATTCAAAGCCAGCCCAGCCAGGAAAGTCCATGAAACTCTTACCTCCAATTAACTACCAAAAAGTCAAAAAGAGATGTGTGATTCAACTGGTAGAGCATTAGCCTTGAGCAAAAGAAACTTAGGGACACAACAAACACCCAGATTCTGAGTTCACGCTCTAGGACTGGTACAAACAGCAACATAAAAAAACTCAAAACAAAAATGTCATGTCATCTCTTTATAAATAAAAAAAGCATTCAGCCTAGTGTTATTCACTAGATAGTATGTTGAAAATGAACCATACAACTTGTATGTGGGGACAGGAGGGAAAAGCTGCTAGAGAGTAAGGAAAGGAAAAGAATTGTACTCTTTACCTGACTTATAATCCCTGACTGTAACCTCTCTGTATATTACCCTTATAACAACAATAATAATTAGAAAAATAAGCACTCAAACCATAAGACCCTGATTTTAGGACCTCCCATATTCACACATACAAGTCAGCTCTGAAGAAGTGAACCCACACCGGGTGCCGGTAGCTCACACCTGTCATCCTAGCTACTCAGGAGGACTGAGATCTGAGGATCACAGTTCAAAGTCAGCCCAGGAAGGAAAGTCCATGAAATCTGTATCCCCAATTAACTACCAGAATATGGCTTAAGTGGTAGAGTGTTCGCCTTGAGTGAAGAGCTCAGGGCCAGTGCCCAGACCCAGAGTTCAAGCCCCATGACCAAAAACAAAAACAAAGAGAAGTGAACCCACCCAGAAAGCTATGAAATATTCTGTAACGAGTATGTGTGTCAGTAGTGGGGCTTGAACTCAAGGCCTATCTATGTACTATTCCTTAGTGTTTTTTGCTCAAGACTGGATCTCTACCATTTGAGTCAGAGCTCTACTTTTTGTTGGTTAACAGAAGTATCACTGAATTTTTTGCCCTGGGCTAGTTTGAATTGCAATCCTCGGATCTCAGCCTTCTGAGTAACTAGGATTATAAGCATTATTCACTGGCATTTAGCTATCTTAGCTTCTATAAAGGGCTCACACAGTCCATGCATTTTGGTTGATTGGGGACATGTAATTTAAGTTATCTTACCAAGACATAATAAACAAGCCTGAAATTACCTCTCTCAGGAAAGATGTTGTTTTTGGTGAGTTTGACACTTTTGGGTCTTGGGTTTTTGTCATCTATGCCCATGATCAGGTTGCGGAAAAACAAATCAAATTTCCTTCTGCTGTCCCCATTGATGGTGCCAGCTACTGTCCACACCAATGCAAAGAGGAATAGTCCTTGCAGCCAGAGGAAGATCTGTTGACTAGACAGGTTTTCAAATAATTCACTTTCTTCATCTTCTGCTTTCCTTAATTCATCTAAAAGTGAAAAGGGGGATGGAAGTTCAGGCCAAGAAACAGCTACAGATTTATATCCATTGGGTATGAACTGGCTAGTTTTGCCAGGGAGCTCTGGAGATTCTCTCTCTCTCTCTCTCTTTCTCCCCTCCCCCTCTGTCACACACACGCACACACACACACACACACACACACACACTTACTCTTTAATATTGTCTGGGTGCCCATCATATACCAGATCCTTTACCACATACATATTTCTGTGTGTATCCTGATCCTGGGGCTTGAACTCAGGGCTTGGGTACTGTCCTTTAGCTTTTTTGCTCAAGGCTGGTGCTCTACCATTTGAGCCACAGCTCCCCTTCTGGCCTTTTAGGTAGTTAATTGGAGACAAGGGTCTGATGGGCTTTCCTGCCCAGACTGGCTTTGAACTGTGATCCTCAGACCTCAGCTTTCTGAATAGTTAGGATTACAGATGTGAGCCACCAGTGCCTGGATCCATTTACATATTTTACTGTAAAATATACACAGTATAACAATTGACAATCTTTTTCATTGTAAAGTGTATATAATCTAATGGTTTAAGTACACCCATATTGTGAATTATCATTGTCATTCATAATCAGAACTCTTTCCACCTTGTAGAACTAAAGCTTTGTAACCACTAAACAATAATCTCCATCCTCCCTACACTCCTCATTTAGCCAGAATTGTTTTTTGTTTTGTTTGTGTTTTTGTTTTGCTGTCTGAATACTGTTTGAATACTCACAGTATCTAAACATATGTAAAGTAGATTCATATAGTACTTTTGTGCCTGGCTTATTTTACTTAAACAATGTTTTAGGGTGCATTTACTTTGTGTTATGTGTCAGAATTTCCCAAATGATATTTCCTTGGGTGATTGTAACACCGTTTTATTTACTCATTTTCTGTTGATAGATATTTGGGTTGCTTTTCAGGAATAAGAATGTCTGATAAGGGGCTGGGAAGGTGGCTCAGTGGTAGAGTGCTTGCCTTGCATGCCTGAGGCCCTGGGTTCAAGTCCTCAGCACCACATAAGCAAAAAGAAAAAAGCCAGAAGTGGTGCTGTGGCTCAAGTGGTAGAGCGCTAACCTTGAGCTGAAGAGCGCCCAGGCCCAGAGTTCAGGCCCCACAACTGGACCAAAAAAAAAAAAAAAGAATTTCTGATAATTATTTTGATAATTATTATATACTCAGAAGTGAAAATCTGGGCAAATTTATATTTCCTTTTTTTTGAGCCACCAAAGTATTTTCCATACCTACTATATCATGTTAAATTCCCAACAACAATCTGTAAGGATTCCAGTTTCTCCACATCCTCATTGGTGTTTGTTTTTTGTTTGTAGCCACCCTAATAGGTCAGAGGTAATTTGATATTATTATGACTCTGACTTTCATTTTCCTAATAATTAGTAATGTTGATTATTTTCATGTAATTATTGGCTATTTATCTTCTTTGGAGAAATGTCTCTTCAAGTCTTTTATTCATTTTTGTATTACATTGTTTTATTTTTTGAATATGAGTGATTCTCTTCATATTCTGAATATAAATCCTCTTTATGTGATTTGCTGACATCTTGTTCTATTCTGACTCTGTTGGTAATTCTTTTTTTTAAATGCATTAAGATTTTAAATTTTGATGAATTCTAATTTACTTATTTTTTTTTTTGTTGCCTGTGTCTTTGGTGTCAAGTCCAAGAACTCATTGATTCAATGTCATGAGCTTCTACTTTTTGTTTCTTTTGAAAGTTTTGTAATTTTTGCTTTATCTTTAGATATTTTACACATTTATTTTTCATATCCGTATTGGGTAATGGCTATATTGCTCAAAGTGATATACACATTCAAACCATTGCGTATCATTATCCCAAAGAGAATAAGGCAAGAGAAGAGAAAAGGCAAGATGGCAGATGAGAAATATTTGCTATTTTAATTCTTTGAATGTTAAGAATCTGGTGACAGAAAAGAGATTACATCCTGAAGAAAGAAAGACAAGAAAAAAAATCTAGAAACTATAAAGGATGGGAACTCAGAAACAACAGTGAAATAATCCAACAGAAGAAAAGCCAGCAAGAGTTCTGAGCCCTCGTGAGCGGCAGGAGTTAGGAAAGAAGATATAATTAAAATTGAGACTTATTAGGCAGTGACTATTCCACTGTGGAAGGCTAGCCCTACTGTGGAAAAGTCATCCTGCCATTCCTCTTATCTCAGAGGGTGACAGTAAGACTTCATCTTGAGAGAGTCCCTGTTACTCTAGGGACCTACAAATAAAGAGCTATTACTGTTCAAGAAAATGTATGAGACTTTGCTATAGAACTTGGGTCACAGGAGGTGGGTAAGGAGAGGAAGAGAGTCTAATGGGTCCCTTTATAGAAAGGTTAAACTGCAGGAAATTACACTGGCAGCTTGGCCATTAGAAGCAGCTGCTGGGTGACAGCTTGGGACTCCTTGACAAGTCACATGGCAGAGGCACTGGTGACTGCTGTATTTGCCCATTGAGGAGTATGTTGGTGACTCACAATACCCAACAGAAGCACCATTAGAGATGGCTGCTCCAGACATCTGGCAGTGAATGACACCCCCTGCCCAGGCCCTCTATTGAGTCTTGAAACAGAAGCTTAGGAGTAATAGAAATACCATTAGAAGCAGAATGATCTATAAAAATATGGGGGTAGCAGTTGTTTGTGACTTTACCCTCCCCATCCTGGAGAGAATCCTATCTCCTGAGGCCAGGGTGGCAATGAGCCTTTGAGTCTGACACTTTCAATAATCACTAGCTAATGTGACAGAGTGATGAGTGGGATAGACCTAAATTATGAGCTTTTCACAGCCTATTGCACTCCACAGAGAGGTTTATATATCAGCCGAGAGTCACAAAAACAATAGAAAATCCATATATTGTTATATATAAATCTATTGGTCTTTGGTAATATTTTGGTTTGGCCGTTTTGATTTTTTAATTTGCTTATCTGCAGTGATCTTTTATGCATATTCCTTATAGGCCATTTACTTTTTTGGGAGGGGACCAGTCCTGGGGCTTGAACTCAGGGCCTAGGGGCTATCCCTGAGCTTTTGTGCTTAAAGCTAGCCCCTACCTCTTGAGCCACAGTTCTACTTCTGGAATTCTGCAGATAAGAACCTCACAGACTTTTCTGTATAGGCTGAACCACAATCCTCAGCTCTCAGCCCACTGAGTAGCTAAGTTAAAAGGTGTAAGGCACAGGGACCCCATTCCTAGGTATCTTTTTAAAGGCGAATCTTTAAGATCCTTTAGGTATAGGATCATATAATCTGCAAAACAGAATAATAAGTACCTTATAACTTATGTTTAACTATTACTCATGTTACATTTTTTTGGGGGGGGTCTGAACTCTGATCCTGAGCGCTGTCCCTCAGGTCTTCAGCTCAAGGCTAGCGCTCTACCACTTGAGCCACAGCACCACTTCTGGCTTTTTTTCTGCTTATGTGGTGCTGAGGAATTGAACCCAGAGCCTTATGCATGCAAGGCAAGTGCTCTACCACTGAGCCACCTTCCCAGCCCCTCATGTTACATTTTTAATTTGTGTCTACAATGCTTTTAGAAGAAATAAACTAAGAAAATGTGTCAGAAGTTGTAAAGATTCATCTTGAATTTGTCATCTTGGAAAGAAAATTAACATGTAATATAAGTTCTCCAAATGAACACACCTGTAGTCTTCTGCAGTAGAATGCAGTGGAATCTGATTTGTGTGAAATACAGAGATACATGATTGTATCTTGGGAAATTCATAAAACACTGAAGTACTGTTTTAAAATATCCTGAAGAAGTTTCATAGTTTTGGACACCAATGTGATTAGTTTTCTTATAGTACATTCATAGTTTTACATGTCTTCATATTTTTTACTATGTGAGTTTTCTTAATAGGAAAACTTCCTATATTTTATCAGAATTTTTTTCTGAGATGAATTCATATCTATCATCTAAACCCATCTCCTATCAAGATAACATTGTTTGGTAGAGATAGACAGCAGCCTTAGGCCAAGAAAAGATGGGATAATTTGCTTAAGAACAAAAAATCAACCCTGGCATTGGTAGCTCACATTTATAATCCTAGCTACTAAAGAGGCTGAGATCTGAATATCGAGGTTCAAAGCCAGCCCAGGTAGACAAATCTGAGGTTCTTATTGCCAAATAACTAGCAGAAACCAGATGTGGAGGTGTGGCTCAAGTGGCGGTCTTAAGCAAAAAATCTAAACAAATATGTGAGACCCTAAGTCAAGCCCTAGTATTGACAGGCACGCCTGCACACAAGCACACACACACATACACGTGCGTGCGTGCACACACACATACACACACACACACACACACACACACACACACACCATTATTGATCAGAACAAAATACACAGACTCCCCCAGGAAATTCTACTATCTACAATTCAAAGGCCCTCTTGTTCTTAATTGCAGGGGCTAAAGAGTAATGAGGACAGACAAAAGCCAAAGACCCCCTTTCCTCCCCCCGGCCTGTCCTATTGTACTTACCAAATAGAGAAGAGTACAGTCTCATCATAGTATAGGCCAGATGTATGGGAGATGTTTGGACCACAAATTTACAATGAAGGCGACAAAATTCTAGGCAGGGCTGGACCAGCCACATGAACATGTCATTGACCTGAGAGTAGAAAACTCTGTGAGCTTTGTAGACATCTAAAAGGACATTATCTCAGGAGGCTGGAGATGTGGTTAAGATTGCTGGTTAACTTTGAGTGTAGGTTCAATGTTTTTATTTATTTATTTGTCAGTCATGGGGCTTGAACTCAGGGCCTGGGCACTGTCACTGAGCTCTTTTATGCAAGGCTAGCACTCAACCACTTGGAGCCACAGTGCCATTTTTCTTGTGGTTAATTGGAGATAAGAGTCTCATAGATTTTCCTGTCCAGGCTGGCTCAAACCAGTTCTCAGATGGCTTAGCCTTCTGAGCAGCTAGGATGACAGGCATGAATCACAAGTGCCTGACAGGTTCAAATTTTAAAATACTTCACTTTTCATCTTTTCTTGGGTTTCCCCAGGATCCAGAGCACAGTGCCCAGATTGCCTTGTGATCAATCACAAGGAGAAAGAGCAGATAAGCCAGAGTGTTTGACAAATCCGATGGTTTAAATGAATTTTCAGTTTATGATATTTTCAATGTGTTGATGAGTGTGCCAAGACATTATCCCATCTTAAGCTCAGGAGCAACTACATGAAATCAGATGCTATTTGCTGAGCATCTAATAATTGCATTGCAGTCCACAGTGCTGGGGATAAAAGGGGAATACGATGACAAGACCTCTGCTAGCTCATAATCTGATTGTAATATCTGAGTTGCTATTCGTTGGCAGAAAGTTAGAAAAACCCCAGTCAGCCTTTGTCCCTTCTCCATCCTTGCTAAAAAGCAAAAGAACATATCACCCTTAGTCAAGTTTACCAAGCTGGCAGCCTTGCAGAAGGCTGCTGACAACCTTGAGGCACCAGCTGCACTGAGTTGCCGTATTAGTCAGGGGCTTATAATAAAAATCATTTCTGCACTAGTGTCAATAGCACTGATAGTATTAGTCATGCTGACCAAGTCAAGATTATGTTTTGCCTATGCTCCTGTGACTCAAGGCTATGTTTTGCTTCTATAACCTTGCTTGCTTGCCTCAGTAACAGGGCCTTTAGACCACCAATTAAAGACCACACCACAGGGCTGGGAAGGTGGCTCAGTGGTAGAGTGCTTGCCTTGCATGCATGGGGCCCTGGGTTCGATTCCTCAGCACCACATAAACAGAAAAAGCCGGAAGTGGTGCTGTGGCTCAAGCAGAAAAAAAAAAGGACCCCCACAGAGTGGTCCTACTATGGGCAGCCTATTGCAAATTATTATGTATGATATTTACCATAAAGAACAAATGAATTTAAAGGTCATATAACTATAACCAATGAAAATGTGCCAAACCTGTACAAGATGCTATGTCGAAAAACGAACTTTACAACTTTGGCAGGGGGGTGGGGGAATAAGAAATGTACTTATTACTAATTGTAACCCCTCTGGTATGGTATTTACACAATAAAAAACTTATTAATAATAATAAAAAAAGAAAATGTGCCAAACCTGTCTTGCATGGCTCCTTTATGTAACTCTATGTAACCTACCCCTTAATAACCCCAGCTTGAGGACTGCTCAGGGTTGCAGCCACAGCTCCCAAATCTGTGCTGTGTCCCTGGCTGGTCAGCTATCTACTTCCCCAATAAATTCATCTTTTTACATGAGGGTATCTCTGAGTGGTGAACGCTTTTCCCCATAACACTGATGGAGGAGGGACTAAAAACAATAGAAATAAATTTTAAAAAGCAATGCAGTAACTAAAGTGCAGATGATGGGGCGTGTTAGCAGGAAACCAAAGTGTTATAATGGAGAATAACAAGAGTGAACAGAGGGTCCAGGGAAGCCTTTTTGGAATAGTGGACCTTTCTGCTGGGAAGTGAATGATAAAGGTGAGCCATCCATGAGATAAACTGGGTCAAGATTTCCATATGAAGAATAAAATGTGCAAAATCCTTGAGGTGGTAAAACCTGGGTTTTCCAGGAATGTAAAGAAAACAGGAAACTCCGCCCTGGAAATGCATGTTCTAGGTTTCTGTGTGCTTAGGTGCCTGAGCTAATGAGGGTCTAAGTTCTGGGCAGTCAGAGTGTGGTTAGCAAGATGAACAAAGATGTGCAGATGAGAGCAGCAATTAACCAAAAGTTAATAGAAACTGGAGAAAGAGAGAGCCTCAAAGAGTTGCTGAGAGCTAAATTAATTGAATGTGGCTGGAAGGATCAGCTGAAGGCACACTGTAAAGAGGTAATTAAAGAAAATGACTTGGTGGCTGAAATCACTCCAAAAGGCAGAGCCCTGGGGCTGGGAAGGTGGCTCAGTGGTAGAGCACATGCCTTGTATGCCAGAGGCCCTGGGTTCAATTCCTCAGCACCACATAAGCAAAAAGAAAAAAGCCGGAAGTGGCGCTGTGGCTCAAGTGGTAGAGCGCTAAGCCTTGAGCTGAAGAGCTGAGGGACAGCGCCCAGGCCCAGAGTTCAGGCCCCACGACTGGACCCAAAACAAACAAACAAAAGGCAAGAGCCCTGGTACCTGACACTGTAATGAAGGAACTCCAACAAAGAATAAGAACATTCATTGCTCAGCATGCCAGTCTTTAAGGTTGAATTAGATTGTGTTATTCTATGGTTTTATTTCTGAAAATTTGCCATAAATTCAAACTCAGTCTCCCAAAACAAAGTCCTTTTTTGTATGATGGTATACAGTTTTCAGTAATGGTGTATACATTAACACATTTCCCCTAAATGTGTTATTTTAATAAGTATCTCATGAATAAAAAAAAAGGGGGGGCTGGGAAGATAGCTCAGTGAAAGAGTGCTTGCCTTGCATGCATGAGACCCTGGGTTCGATTCCCCAGCACCACATAAGCAGAAAAGGCTGGAAGTGGCACCATGGTTCAAGTGGTAGAGGGCTAGCTTGAGCTGAAGAGCTGAGGGACAGCACCCAGGCTGAGAGTTCAGGCCCCATGACCAACAAAAATAAGTAATACATAAATAAAAAAGAAAACAGGAAGGCTAGGGAATAATGGGCCAGGGCTAAAGAGAGCCAGTGAGGAGGCCACAGAGTTGGGTAGGGCCAGATCACAACAAGCCCTGACAAGATGAAGTTAGATCTGTGCCAACACCATTTCAGAATTTCTGATGGGCTTTCGGGCATAGAACTTTGGCAACTCCAGAACATGTGTATATGTGGACAGGTGATATTGATTACATCGATACTTTTATGTGTTTGTGGGGGGGGGCAGATAATTGTATCAATGTGTGTATGTGTATGTGTGTGTGTGTCTGTGTGTGTGTGTGTGTCTGTGTCTGTGTCTGAGTGTCGTAACAGACATGGTGTCACCCAGAGTATTTCTATAGTAAGGTGGAACTTTCTTAGTTTCCTCCATAGAATACTTTTCTAAGGACTCCTACTTATTCGGGGAAGTACAAGGGATACCACAAACAGGTTGACTTTATTCCTGTTTCCCTGGTTTTGAGCATGTAGTCAGGAACCCACATAACCTAAGCTTTCCTGTCTTTTAGGATGGGAAAGGAGAGTAGTCACTGGTCAATTGTACTAGCTGCAAAGAGAGCATTTCTAACCAGTCCTGGATTCCTCCCAGTGGGAAGTGTGGAGAGCAGGTTCCAGATATAACTGCAGGATGACAGCACAGAGGGACATGATCTTCTCTCGTGTTCTCTATGTCTAGAGCCATTTCTGCTAGTAGGAAAATGGGGGATAAATGGTACTACAGGCCTCATCAAGAACATTTCTCAGCACTGGAGTTTTCCACTGGGGAGAAGAGGAATGATGGAGAAGGTGGACAATGAAGAATCAGTTCACTGCTCTATGCCACACCCAACACATGCAGAAGAAAGTTGGAAACATGGCAGACAGCCAGGAAACAAAGAGAACTGGCAGGGAATTTATTTCCTGCCCTTTCTTGCTTCCTGGAATGATGAAGATGTATTTAGAAGGTCCTGGAAATGAGTTTGGAAGTGGGGGTGAAGTGGAGTGGGGTGAGAATAAAGAGAACCAAAGGTCTCACCAATTCCTTGTGCTCCGCAGTGAGGCTGGAAGGTAGGGTGTCCATATATGAATCCTTTAGGGGCCTCCAGCTTAGCTGATGGGGCTCCATGTAGATCATGCCACACCTAGTTGCATAAACAGAGAATGAGGATAGGTGCTGTCTTTTTTACTGTACTATACCTCAAGCACTGAGCTAAGCCTTAATGGATTGGCAATAAATGTCATCTCGCTATGTGATCGCTCTTATCCTTTTCCCTTGGGCTTCCCCACTTAAGGTAACACAGCATCTTGAATCTTGATTTCTTCCCTTCTTATATATTTTTATAGAATTTTGTATGTTTCTGAAATTACATGTATTTATCTTTTCTTTTTGGTGCTCCTGGGGAGAGAATTCAATGCTTCACACTACCACTTGAACCACTCCTCCAAGTCCTTGTGCTTTTAGTTAATTTTTAAGATGAAGCCTTATGCTCTTGCCCCAGCTAGTCTTAGAACACAATCCTCCTACCTCCACCTCCCAAGTAGCTGAGATTACAGGCATCTGCCACTGTGTCAGACATGTAAATGTATTTTTTAGAAATTGTTTTATTGTTAGTATAAAGTTGGTGTACAGAGGAGTTATAGTCAGGTAAAGAGTGCATTTCTTTGCTCGCTTTGGCAGCACATATACTAAAATTGTAATGATACAGAGAAGATTAGCATAGCCCCTATGCAAGGATGATATGCAAATTCGTGAAGCATTCCATATTTTTTTGTTCAACCACTCTGAAAGCAGTATGGAGGTTCCTTAAAAGACTCCACATAGAGCTCCCCTATGACCCAACAATCTCACTTCCAGACATTTACCTAAATGATCACAAACAAGGCCATGTTAAAGCTACCAGCACAACCATGTTTATTGCAGCATTATTCACCATAGCTAAGATATGGAACCAACCCAGATGCCCCTAGGTAGATGAATGGATCAAGAAAATGTGCTGTATATACACAATGGAATTCTATGCTTCCATCAGAAAGAATGACACAATCCTATTTGTTAGGAAATGGAAAGGCTTGGAAAAAAATCATATTAAGTGAAGTAAGCCAGATCAAAGAAATATAGGTCCCATGGTTTCCCTTATTTGCAATAACTAATATACATCTAGGACATTCTCATCAGATGAGCAGAAAAGCTCAAAAGATATATACCATATAAGATGATGCTAAGCTAAATGAGCCTCAAGATATGAACATAGAGGTTTTTCTTTGTTGTTGTTGTTTTTAATGTACTATGTGATTTTTTGTTTCTTTTGTATGTTCTTCCCCCTATGTTATATTCCTTGTTGTCACTATATTTGATTTTGGCACCCTGCATCTTGTATATACATTTATCTATTTTGGGAAGGGGAAGGGGACACAGGACACAGGGTGACCTATTGCAACAATGATACTCACAAGACACTATATTAGAAATGATCTTTACAACTTTGTTGGGAGTTGGAGGGGGGAAAGTAGGGGAAGTAGAGGAGGGAAGGGATAGTAGGAAAAAACAAAGGAGGAGTAACAATGTTCAACAAGAAATGTATCATTGTCTTACTCATGTAACTGTAATCCTGCTGTGCAGCATCTTTACAATAAAATAAAGTAAAAATAGAGTACATTTCTTTTTGGACAATGTCACCCTTCCCTCCCTTTTTCCCAGGGTACATGTATTTTCATCTTAATTATTGTCTTTCTTGGCTATTTTTTAAACAATTTAGGAGTGGAATCATGCTATAGTTAATGTTGGACTTCCTTTTATACAAAATATTATGATTTGATCTACTATGCAGTTACTAAGATTTATCCAAACTGATGCTGCCAAGGCTGCTTATTTATTTCTTTTGCTATATATATATATATATATATATATATATATATATAGTTAGATATTTGCATTGTTATTGCAATTTATTAATTCACTCCTACTAATAGGTATTTGGGCAGTTTCCAACTGTTTGTTATTGGTCATTGTGCCAGTATGAATATTCATACTGAGGCATCATATACTTAGGAGCAGAATTGCTGGATCTTAAGGGCAAATAAAAGCTCCACTTGAGCCAATGGCATGCTCTTTTCCAAAGTGCTTGCTTGATGTGGACTTCTACCAGCAGTGTGGGTTGAAGACTGATGTTACAAGTCTAATAATGATGGGGAGATAATGGGGTGGTCTTCTAGAGCTTAATCACATTTGTGGATTTCAGAGCTTTCCCTCCTGTTTAGGGTTTGCTGGTCACACCTTCTCCCAGGTGCCAGTGCACCCTGACTTACCTGCTCACAGTGGCTGGGGAAGCCTGCTCTAGGTCTGCTGGCTCAAAGATCAGACTCATCTTGGCACTCATCTGGATAATCTCTCCACTCATTAAACATAACTGCAAGTGAAAACAGAATGGAGGGGGGGAGGGAGAATGGTGGGAATGGGGGAGGGCACAGCAGTTAAATTACATCCATCAGTGAAGGGTCTCAGTGGAGACAGAGTCAGTTTGAGTGTATACCACAAACATTTGTTGAGCATTTACCATGGTCCAGGCATGATTCTAAGTGCACAGGATAAAACAGACAAAAATATCCTTTTCTTAGGGGTCTACATTCTGCTGGAGAAGATTGATGATAATCAAAATACATAGTATAGAAAAAAATTCTCAGGAGAGAAGCAAAAAAGGGGGTGATGAAGAGGGCTTAGTCATGGCTAAATGAATTATATTTTTAGATAGTAAGGAAGAGAAATCACAAGGTTGCAATCTTAAGTGAAGAACTGAGAAAAAAGTTACCAGCTCCAATGAAGCTTCTTAGTCCCTTCTTGTTTTTAACATAAAAGTTAAGTGTACATCTTCATCTTGTCATATTTACTCAAGTCAAAGATGCAATTTTTAACTTCTCACATGGACTAATCAATGGTGACAAAACACTCTCTAAATCCTGTTTAGAGCTGAATAGAAGACCACTAGAAATCCTACTGTTTGAAAGGCACTAAATTTTGGTGGGTGTACCGGTACTGGGGCATGAACTCAGGGCTTTAGTCTCTTCACTCATCTTTTTCACTCAAGTCTGGCACTCTCCACTTCTGGCTTTTGCTGTTAACTGTTTGTCTATCTGGGCTGGGTTCAAACTATGATCCTCAGTCTCCTAAGTAGCTAGTATTACAGACCTGAGCCATCCAAGACCAGTGGAAACTATGGTTGTCAACATATTACAGAACCTGAAAATCATAGGTGAATCTTAGAATATGTACTTAGAACACCTGTCATTTGCCAACATGGGCTCAAGAGAAAAAGTTAAGTTCTAATAAGACAAAGCTAGGGCCCTAACCCCTCTGAGGAGAGAAAATACCACAGATTCCTACTGATCATCTTAATTGTGACTACAACATTCCCTGCATGTTACCTGATCCATGTCTCTGTATACATACCTAGATAAGGTCCACAACCACCAAATTCTGCCATCTCTAAATATCAATAGCTTGACTATAGTTCCACTTCTTATACCACAAGAACAACAATTAAGAAACTCCTTAATTGTGACTTTCTTTATATTACGAAACTCAAAACCAGTTAGCACATTCATTTATATAGTCCATATCATGTAATATTATCTGTTTCTATTTTTCTATCCTATATAATCAAAATTATGCATAGAGTGTAAGTAATATATGTGTATAATTTGGGTAAGTAGTCTTCATTGGGAGACTTCTATTGTTAAATATGACTCTCACTTAGGCTTGTGACACTTAAACAGTTTGAGAACAACATGTTGATTTGATGGTGATATATATTTCAGTGATACTGTTGTACAGTTCTGGGTATATTTCAGATACTATATATAAGCAGTTTGCAAATATTAATTCATCTAATCTTCTGAACAACATTCTGAGGTAGATCTTGTCCTCATTTTATAGGTGATAGATTTGAGGCACTGAGAAACTAAATAGCTTCTGATGTTACATAGCTGGCAATGGAAGAGCCAGTCTTTGAACCTAACTGCCTGGCTCAAGGCCAAATTCTTTAGTGTTACTATTTTTACTGTGGCAGAATGTATTTTCCAAAGAGTACTGCAATAATGTTCCAAAATCTATTCTCATTCCACATGCAGGTTTATAATGTGACTTTCTCCATTTCCATCAAGAGATAGAGTCTATTTCTCTACTTCTTTGAATCCAGACAAGTCCTGTGACACGTGTGTGTGTGTGTGTGTGTGTGTGTGTGTGTGCGTGTAATCAATACTGGGGCTTAAACTCTGGGCCTGGGAGCTATTCCTTAGATTTTTCACTCACATCTGATGCCCTACCACTTGAGCCAAACCTCTATTTCTGGTTTTTAATGGTTAATAGGAGGTAAGTGTCTCAAACTTTCCTGCCTGGGCTAACTTCAAAATGTTAAATATCGGGTCTCAGTCTCCTGAGTAGCTAAGATTACAGACATGAACTACCAGTGCCCAGAAAGTCCTTAAATATTGAATGAAAAAGTCATCTTGGCTGTATATACTCTAGTTCTAGTGAAATCACAAGAACTAGAAACCAATTGGCCAGCTGAAGTCTTTCAAAATTCCCCACCCCCCAAAGTCATAAGAAAAAATAGTTATTTTAAGCCATTATTAGACCCTAGATAGTTATTGACTATAAATACAAACAGCAATACTGTTGAGAAATTTGCTCAAAGTGTAATAAATGCATGTCTTCTATTGTTTTCTTCTATTGTTTTGATGATTGACTTCAATATGAGTTTATACCCCACACATGAACAAGTAATAGACCCTGTAGCTACCTTTTTATTATCATCCAGAACAGTGTTCATGTTTTCAATCCAAACAGCATCCACTGGCCCATCAAAGATAATCCATTTGCGGTCATCAGACATAGAAGATGCTTGTTCTCGGAAAGCATTGGCTAGGACACCATCTGTCCACTCATGACTCACTGGGTCAAAGCACCCGTACAGCTGTCCCATTGTGATGGCTTTGGGGTTGATGATCTTGTACTCCACACCAAATTCCTCCATCTTGTTGGCTGGAGAAGAAGGTCCAACATCAATTAAAAGGCTCTGGTAAGACCAGACCTTAGAAAAAATAATGCTACCTCAAACTCGAACCAGCATTGATAAATATGCAACCCAAGGAGAGTTCTTGTTTGTTTATTTATTCCTTCAATCCTGGAAACTGAACTCAAGTACTTCACACATGGTAAGCAGATGCTTTACCATTTGAGCCATGGCCCCACCCTTTTGGGCATTTTTGTTTTTGGGGTGTGTGTGTGTGTGTGTGTGTGTGCTCGCGCACGCGAGTGCATGTGTGTGTACTGGGGGTGATCCCTTAGATTTTTTACACAAGGCTAATGCTTGAGCCTTAGCACCACTTCTGGTTTTGGTGGTTAATTGAGATAAGAATCTCAGAGACTTTCCTGCCAGGGTTGGCTTCAAACCTCAATCCTTAGAGTTTATCTTCCTGAATAGCTAAAGCTTACAGGCATGAGCTTCTAGTGTCTGGCTATGAAGATTGTTCTGTTTTGGGCAGGGCTTCACACTTTCTTTGGCTTTCTTTCTCCAGGCTAACACTCTAGCACTTGAACCATACCTCTACTTCCCATCTTTTTGTATTTGAGACAGAGTGTCACTGCTGACTTTGCTTGGGCTGGCTTTGTCCAAGTTAGTCTCCACCCCCTTAGTAGACAAGATTAGAGGAGTGATTATCATGCCTGGTCCAAGAACAGTTTTTATAAACTGTGAGCTCAGTTCTTTCATAGATTTTAAATTTAAATACATTATTAATGGTTGGGTTACCATAGCCATTAGTTTCACAGTACACTTTATTTTGAGTCTTGTTTCAAATGTGCTGATCAGATCCAAGACTAATGCAATTGGGCTGGGCCTAACAGAACTTAAGCATTGAAGAAGAGAGTCACTATTTTATCATCTCTCTTAGTCTGCCTTGCTGTCATAGTCCCTAACTACCTTGGCATTGGCTAGTAATCTGGAAAATAATGGTTACATTTTTCTATCTGATGGCTAATTTAGCCCTGAAAGCTTTTCCTCAACTGCTCAATAAGTGTCATTTGTCCCCTGAAAAATACACATACTATTTTAGTAACAGCACCAAACTGGAATATTTAGGCTAAATGGTTGGTGTAGTATATATATTTAATAACAGAAAATAATGACATTTTAAAATCATCCTTCAAAGTAAGAGAAAGTTGGAGTGCTTGGGTCATGTCCAAAAACAAACAAACAAAAAAACAAAAAACTACTTCTACAGAATCGTACAAAGACACTGTAGTAGCATCCTTCTTATGCTTTTAGCGTCTTTCTTTTTTTGTGATACTGGAATTTGATCTCAGGGCCTTATACTTGCTAGGCAGATACTCTGCCACTTGAGCCACACACCCATCTACCATCCCTTCTTATTTTTTTTTTAAATTCATGCTTTAGTCATAGTCATAACCCCCTCCCCTCAGAGCTGGCCTTGGATTATAATCCTTATACCTATGCCTCCCACATAGCTGAAGTTAAGGGGCACACAACTGTGTCTGGCTGATTTGTTGAGATGAAGTCTTGCTTATCTTTTGTCTAGGCTGGCCCTAAACTATAATCGTCTCAATCTCAACTTTCTAAATAGCTGAAATTACAGTCATGAACTACCTAGCCCAGCCAACTCCTGTAGTCTCTTAAAATGCATTCACATAAACTGGATGCCAGTGGCTCATGCCTGTAATCCTAGCTACTCAAGAGGCTGAGATGTGAGGATTGCAGTGTGAAGCCAGACCTGAAAGGCAAGTATATGAAACTCTTATCTCCACTAAACTACTAAAAAAAAGCTGGAAGTGGCACTCTGGCTCAAGTGGTAGAGCACTAGCTTTGAGCAAAAGCAACTCAGGAACAGCACCCAGGCCCTGAGTTCAAGCCCCAAAACTGTCACAAAAAAAGAAAAATATTCATATGCTCTAATTGTCATTGTAATCAAAACTTGAATGCCCAAATGAGGCTCTTGGTCCTCAACACGAAAATCTCAAAGAGTTCTAACAGCAACTTTATCAGTGAAAGGGTCCATCACATCCATGCCAGGAGACCACACAGAGGCAGGCAGGCACAGGAGAAAGATTATTACAAGGTTTATTAGAGGAGCCATATTTCTCCCAGAAAGAGAGCACATGGTGACCTCCACTATCTAGGTAGCAGCAGGATCTCCGGGTTAAGAAGTGAAGTATCTAGGAGTTCAGGTGGGTCTGGGTGGAGAGAGGGAGGGGCCAGCTGTGTGAAGGGAACTCCAGGGCAGGGAGAAGCTCAGGTTTGGGTAGAGATGAGGACCAAGGGTGGGCATAAGGCTTACAATCATCAAATGTCATTAGGAAGCAATTTTAAATGAAATACTGGACTTGAAGAAGTAAATATGTAAAAATATATCTAACATAGCACTGCAATTCAAAACCACAGGCTTGTAATTTATACCAAAACAAACAAAATGTCTGCCTGTTTCCCTGGCAGTCAAAGTAGCTTCCATTTACTGAGTAGGTGCAAGTGCTAGGGAATTTACCTGTATAATTTCATTTATATAGGTATAGTTCTCACAATCATCCCATTTTAGAGTTGAGAAAAATGGAAGATAAGGGAGGTTTAGTCATTTACTCAACTCAAGTCTCACTAAGAGGAACTCTTCACTGGGAGCCAGTCACTCATACCTGCTACCCTAGCTACTCAGGAGACTGAGATCTGTTGATTGAAAGCCAGCCCAGAAAGTCTATGAGATTCTTTTTTTTTCATTTTTTTTAAATTTAATTTTATTTTATTTGTGAACATACTGTACAGAGGGGTTACAATTGCATGGGCAGGATAATGCGTACAGTTCTTACCAAACATTGCAGCCTCCTCCTTTGTTTACCCTTCCCATCCCTTCCCAGCCTCCCCCCTCCCCCCCATCCCAATCCTTCTCCTTCCCCCCTCCCCCCACTCCCTTCCCCCCCACCCTATGAGATTCTTATCTCCATTTAACCACCAAGAAGATGGAAGCTGAAGTGTGGATCAAAGGGGTAAAGTGCTAGCCTGGAGCAAAAAAGCTATGAGACTGCCCAGGCCATGAATTCAAGCCCTAGTACTGGCACCAAAAACAAAAATGTATGAACTCTTATTCTCTACCTTAAAAGGAAGGAAGAAGGAAAGAAGGAAGGAAGGAGGAAAAGTTGGAAAGGAAAGAAATGGAAAAGAAAGAAAAGGGAAGAATGGATGTCAAGAATAAAAGTAAAAGAAAAGAAACAATGTGATGGTTTAGATTTGCTTTTGGACTAATTTTGTTTAAGCCAGTGACAGGAGTTTCTCTCTTATTGGAAAGCAATTGTATGAACCACATTCAACATTTATAGAATATTTCTCCAGTTTTTATAATATGACCATAAAGTCCCTTGTTAGAAGCCACACTCCATCACTGTTTATTTGCTATGTGCCACATTTTACTGTCTCTGACAATCAGAACCCAGGGCTAGCAAAACACAGCTTTGATATTATCTTCCTGAAGCCAGCCAATGATTAGGGATTCCTAACCTCAACCCAAGCCAGGGATATGAGCTTACCTGCATGCAAATCACCCAAAGCTGCAGCCAACACTTTATAAGCAGAGGTCTTGCCACCCATGGGGTCTCCAACAATCATAAAGCCATGTCTTACCAGCATCATTTCATAGATCTGGGATGAGAAATCATACAAGAAATTAGCAGTTAGACACTAGTGTTCAGACCTATAACCCAAGAGGGTGAGGATTGATTTGTGGTTAGAAGCCAGCTTGGGCAGGAAAGTCCATGAGATTTGTATCTCCAGTTAAACACCAAAAAAGCTGGAAGTGGAACCACAGTTCAGAGGACAGAACTCCAGTCTTGAGCTAAAAAGCTAAGGGATGGAGTGGCACTGTAGCTCAAGTGGTAGAGCACTAGCCTTGAACTGAAGAGTTGGGGGACAGTGCTCAGGCCCAGAGTTCAAGTCCCACGACTGACCAAAAAAAAAAAAAAAACTAAGGGATAGTATATCCAGGCCCTAAGTTCAAGTACCAGTACCGGTGAATGTGCTTGAGCTTTAAAAAGTTCCCCTCTGGGTGTCAGTCACTCATGTACGTAATCCTATGAGACTCTTATCTCAAATTAACCTCTCAAAATCTGAAAGTGGCACTGTGGCTCAAGTGGTAGACCACTAGCTTGAGCACAAAGAGGCTCAGGGATAGCACCAGCACTGAGTCCAAAGCCCCACAACCAACACCCCCCCCCCCAATAAAAAAGCTCCCCACACTTCATTAAAGTTGATGAAGAATGAGGAGTGGAAAGGAGTTTCTTACAGTCACTAGTGAGTCACTTTTGTAGCTACTATTTATCTATCTTTTGGATAAATGAATATATATGTGTCCTAGATTGCTTAAGGGATGCTATGTGCTTAACATCAAATGATTATCCAAATATTTAATCTATTCAGATCTCATTACCCACCTTTTATAGATGAGAAGACTGACTGAGCCCAAGAGAAGTTAAGCAACTCCTCCCCCAAGCTTTCAGTGATGGAACTAGGATTTGATCAAAGGGCTGTCTAACTTCAATATTTCAAATCTGTTCATTATATCATTGGCAGGAAGGAAGGAAGGAAGGGAGGGAGAGAGGGAGGGAGGGAACATCCGACGTGGATGGCTCATGCCTGTAATCCCAGCTACTCAGGAGACTGGGACCTGAGTATTGCAGTTCAAAGCCAGCCTAAGCAGGAAAGTTTGCTTTAATAAACTACTAAAAAAGCACCAAAAGTGAAGGTGTAGTTCAAGTGGTACAGTGCTAGCCTAGAGCACAAAGCTCAGGGACAGTGCCCAAGGCCTGAGTTCAAGCCCCAGGACAGGCCCCCACAAAAAACAGAACTTCACTAATATTTGTACATATGTATAGGGAATAGTATGATATACAATGTGAAATAATTAAGACTAGATAATTAGTATTACTCTATCCTCAATCATTGGTCATTTCCATTACCTCCTAGAGCTAAAGATTAGAATGATGGTCACACAGGCTAAGAAGCATAGGGAGAATGGGATAGAGATAGGATCATTGTTACTGAAAGACAGATAGGAAAAATTACTTGTCTTGTCCTATACCTGAGTAGAACAACTATAGAATAACTCTGTGTAAACTGATCATATATGCCATTTATTTTAAAGAAGAAAAGGAAATGGTGATCACTTTAACAACCTGTATTCCTATTGGAAAGTTCCATTGTAGAGTATTGACTTCTATTCTGCTTTAATTGGAATCTCTGTAGATGAAAACATGCTTTCTGCACTATGGAGGTTCATCAAAAGACAAAACATAGAGCTCCCTTATGACCCAGCAATCCCACTTTTGGGCATTTACCCAAATGATCACAAACAAGGTCATACCAAAGCTACCAGCACAACCATGTTTATTGCAGCATTATTTACCATAGCTAAGGTATAGAACCAACCCAGATGCCCCTCAGTGGATGAATGGATCAAGAAAATGTGAGATATATATCTATATATGGCATATAGATAGATAGATAGATAGATAATGGAATTCTATGCTTCCGTCAGAAAGAATGGCATTGCCTCATTTGTTAGGAAATGGAAAGACTTGGAAAAATTATATTGAATGAAGTAAGCCAGGCCCAAAGAAACATAGGTCCCATGGTTTCCCTTGTTTGCAGTGACTAGTACATGTCTAGGACAAGCAGAGAAGGTCAAAGGCAATATACATACGACCACATGAAATAATGTTAAGCAAAATGTACCCCCAAGACAGGGACACAAGAGGTTTTGGGGTTTTTTTCTTGCTTGCTAGTATTTTTAATGTATTTACAATGCACTATGTGATTCTTTTGTTTCTTTTGTAGGTTCTTCCCCCATTGTATAACCCCTGTTTTCACTGGATTTGATGCCTGTGTTCTGCATCTTGTATACACATTTTTGTAATTTGAGGAGGGAAAGGAATATTGCAGAATGCTTAAATGGAGATGCAGGCTGACACATTGTAATGACAAGACGTACAGAACACTATATTGAAAATGAACATTACAATGTGTGGGGGGGCAGGACAAGTTGGGGAGGCAGGGAGGGAAGTGATGGTAAGGGGAAAATAAAGGAGGAGGTAACAATGCTTGCTATGAAATGTACTCATTGCCCTACTCATGTAACTGTAACCCCTCTGTACAACATTTTTTTGGAGGGGATCCAATCGTGGGACCTGAACTCTGGGCCTGGGTGCTGTCCCTCAGCTCTTCAGCTCAAGGCTAGCACTCTACCACTTGAGCCACAGTGCTATTTCCAGCTTTTTTCTTTTTGCTTATGTGGTTCTGAGGAATCGAACCCAGGCCCTCATGCGTGCAAGGCAAGCCCTCTACCACTGAGCCACCTTCCCAGCCTCTGTACAACATTTTTACAATAAAAAATTACAATAAAAAAAGAAAACATGCTTTCTGAGTCAGGCACCATGCTGTAAGACACAATGACACCTGGGTGCATGTGGCTTATGCATGTAATCTTAGCTACTCAAGAGGCTGAGATATGTGGATCTTGGGTTAGTCAAACCTAAGATACTCATCTACAAGTAGCCACCAAAAAGCTAGATGTGGATCTGTGGCTCAAGTGGTAGAGCATTAACCTTGAGCACAAAAGCTCAGTGACAGCGCCAAGCCCTGAGTTCAGGCCCCCAGGACTGGTACCAAAAAAAAAAAAAGATACAATGTCATTCTAACCTCTATTCTTAAGACTTAGCAGCTAAGTGAGAGCCTATTTCTTGAATTTCCTGATTGTTCCTATGGGTGACAAGTAGGCCATTGTAGTCAAAACACTTGTATTTGTATGAGATTTTATGTTTTTTTCTGTTTTCTTCCTTGACTATTGGTCCCTCAGAGAAAAGGGAAGTTTGAAACTTTTTATTTTGAAGATCAAGTTCTCATTGCTCTTTGAGATGAGTCTTAACTGAAGATAATAGCAATGGAGTTGCAGGGGAGAGCAGGAATCTCATTCAGTAAGCATCTTTTAAGCACCTACTTTGGGCCAGAAATTGCTTTAGATGATCCAGACATGTGTGTGTGTGTGTGTGTGTGTGTGTGTGTGTGTGTGTGTGTGTGTGTAATTAAATATATAAGAGGACAGATAGTTTCTGACACCTTAGTTTGAAAACATTACCTTATTTCTGAAAATCAGTGCTAAGCTTTATAAAAGTTCATCTAAATGTCTGCAACTTCCTTTGAAATATTATCATAAAGATAGATAAATGAAAGGAGGTGGATGGATGGGTGAATTGATGGAAGAATGGGTAAGTGATAAAGCAAGTATTATAACATATTAATGATGCAGTCTAGGTCTAGGGCATGGAAGTTCTCTTTATAATTCTACCTGTTAAAGATATTCCATGACAAAGTATTGGAAACAAAAGCTCATTCTTAAAGGGTAGCTCACCTGAATATTCCAAGTGAAATATGTTTTGCTTTGTTTTTTAAAGCAGCTCATTTGGTTATATACTAGGGAAAAAATAATTATTTTTACCATAGGTCAATCTGAATTCAGAATTCAAAGACACAGGTTCTACCTTAGCGCGTTTTCCCATTAATAATGTGACTTTGGGACATGGTAATGCTTATAAGGCAGATTATGACTAAGTGGGTGGGGAAGATATAGCATCCATCACTATATCTGGCACTTTTCTATACCTCTGAAGAACTAAATTTCTCTGGGGAAGGTTTTGCTCTTTCCCTTTTATAGATGAGGAAACTGAGGCTCAATGGGGTGAAATAATTTGTCCTAAATCTCACAGCAGGATCTGATCGGAGACTTGAGCCTATGTCTGTATTAATCCCATTTGTGTTCCCTCTCTGGACTTTATAAAGGATGAACCTGATGGTATTTAAGGCATCTTGTTATTGTGGCCTATAATTTTGCAGAGAAAGTGCATTTGAGGTCTATTGCATTCAATTTATCATTGAAAACAATCTAAGAGAGGGAATCCTGAGATTAGAAGGAAGCTTTTGGTGCATTTCTAGAATCGGGTCTATCTATAGAGACATTTGTGATTTTCCTGCCCATAATCTGCCTGTCATTTACTGAACCCTAACTTTCCCTGAGGAGATATCACCTTCAGATCAGTTGACATGACTTGGGCAGGGTTATCTCCACCTATGCTTGGTTACAGTCCAGTTCCAATCTAAGTGATCATATGACTTTACCAGAATCATCTAAAAATGTTGAACTTTAATTCCAAGTACAACAGTTGGCCAAGTGGTCTGTTAACTTTCTTTCCATGTTGTAAGTCCTGCTCCTGTCTACCCTAAATCCTTCTAGTTCCTACTTCCTATAGGCAGTAGAACAGGTACATCTCAAGTGGGTGCAAGGAACTAACCTGGATAATTTTTCCAATAAACCAAGGTACTGGCTGAAGTCCCATCTTTTTGGAGTTGATATCCAGGGCTTCCAGAAAAACTTCATAGTCTGGCTGTGGAAGAACAACTCCAGGAAACAAATCTGAGATAATCCCCTGTTGGCAAAGGTCAAGAGAAGGTGGGAAGGATGAAGTATCAGATATGTGATTCTCAACATTTTCCTAAAATGAGATCTATAGACAAACGAAATGTTTGAAAACTCTCAAAGCTCATTTTCCCCTTGCACCAAAAACTCAAATGTCAACTGTTAATCATAATTTCCCTCTCCAAAAATTTAAAACAGTAAATATTTAATGTCTGTGGTACTGTTTTTGTGCTTGGGATGACTAAGATAATCATGATTTCTGTCTTGATGGAATCACATTTAATTACATTAAATAAACACAACTACCTAAACCCAACAGCAAATCTTTTTTTTTAACTGTTTTTTTTTGTTACTGGGTATCAAAAACAGGACATTGTACTTGATAGGCAAGTGCTTTGCCACTGAGCTACATCCTAGCCCTCCAACAGCAAATCTTATCCTATTACAGAAATCATTTTTGTCAGGCATCCGTGCTTACTCCTGTAATCCTAGCTACTCAGGAGATCTGAGTATTAAGATTCAAAGTAAAAAAAAAAAAGATTCAAAGTCAGCCAAGGCAGAAAAGTCTGCAAAACTCTGATCTCCAAGTAACCAGCAAAAAGCTAGAAATGGGGAGGTATGGTTCAAGTGGTAGAACGCCAGCTTTGAGTAGAGGAGAGTGAGGCCCAGAGTTCAAGATGCAGTATTCGCACAAGAAAAGAAAAAGAAAAAAAATTAATTAAAACTAGGAACTAGACAGGAATATTTGCTATCAAGATTATTACTTAATGGGCTAGGAATGTGGCTTAGCAGTAAAGTGCTTGCCTAGCATGCACAAAGCCCTGGGTTCCATTCCTCAGTACCACATAGACAGAAAAAGGCAGAAGTGGCACTGTGGCTCAGGCCATGAAGCATTAGGGACAGTGCTCAGGCCCTGAGTCCAAGCCCCAGGATTGGCAAATATATATATATGCATATATATACATATATATCTATATCTTAGCAACAGGGGACCAAGAAGATGGCATTTGGGCTGGTATGAGACAGAGTATAAGAGGACTGCAGATGTGGAGTAAGGTGCCAAAGAAATTGAGCCTGGGTCCTTCACCAATGTCCTAAATCCCTGCATACCTGAAACAGAGGGACATCTTGAGCTAAGAACTTGGCTAGGTTGACATCGAGCAAGGCACGGAGCAGTAAAACACTTTCATCTTCCTTTGGATATTTGAGCTTTAGGTTGCCTGCAGCTGTGAGCACAGACTTGACGGCCCGCATGCCATAGTCGTAGTGATGCTGGGAGGAGAGTTGTTCTGAGCACAGACGATAGGTTGCAACAATCTTCTGGGCAAGACTGGGAAGACAAAGACATGTCTGCAGATTCTGATCTCTGCCTCTTCAGAAAGTAGGCTTGCCCATGGACTTGATGGGGTGGCCCCAACATTGAAGTCCTTAGCCAAATTGAGCGAAGGATACATAATTGTCGTTCAAGATTAAAGCCTATGTATAACATGTAATGTACATGAAGTTACAAGTACATGTTAATGTACATGAAAGTTACTTTCATATATATGCATTAATGAATGTGGACACATTAATATAAGTATCTTAGCAAGGGACACTTCCAAGCCATCCCTTGAGTAGCAATGTTTCTGATCATAAACTTCTATCTGGACCTCCAGTGAGTGAAAATAACCATTGCTCATGCTAACCCTTTGGGAATTGGGTATTAGAGTTTCCATAACCAATATACTTATGCACACCCCCTTTTTGGAGATCCCTTTGATCAAACTGATTCATTTAAAAAAAAACAACAAGACTTTGTATTGCTTACTAGCTCCCAGAACAGAGCTGAGTATAAGACAGGTGGCTCAATAAAGAATTGCTAATTGAAGTCAGGCAAGGGTGTCTCGTGCCTATAATCCTATCTACTCAGGAGGCTAGAATCTGAGATTCATGGTTCAAAGCCAGTTTGGGCAAGAACTCTTATCTCCAATAAACTACCACAAGAACCAAAAGTGGGGCTGTGGCTCAAGAGGTAGACCACTAGCTTTGAGCAAAAGAAGCTTAAAGACAGTGCCCAGGCCCTGAGTCCCAGGACCAGCACACACACACACACACACACACACACACACACACACACACAAGTTGCTAACTGAATAGATGAGTGAATTTAATGAAAAATTAATATCACCTACATTTCCACCGTTAAAAAAAACAATACACATGATGTCTTAGCCTAGGAAGGGTGAACATTCTATTTCTGTAGCCCCTCAGATTACAAACAAGGACAACCACATCAACCACATAGTTACCATGGAGATACCTGATATGACCAAAAAAAATTAGTAGGTTACAGAAAAGACAATGTGAAAGACAAACATTAAAATTCAGAAAGGCTTAATGTAAGCCATCCTACAACAATTATTCACAAGTCTTGTATGTGTTATATGTATATACAAACATACGCTTAAAGATATGATGTATATATATGTGTGTATGTGATGTGCCTTAGAAAACCAATATTCAAATAGGAAATAACCCAGTTGATCGATAAAAAATTTTATTGAATTTTTAAGTTACTTAAATAATATTAAAATTATTTCTTCAACTGTGGTATCATTTCATATATACTATAGTTTTTCCTTAGATCACTTAATAAAGTTGACATAGATTACTAAAGTAAGGGGTGGAGATGATATGAGTAGCTACTTTAATAGTGAGAGAAGAGGCTATTTCTTGCCAATGGGCCAATTCCTAGTCAGGAATGAGATCAGGACCAAAGCCAGGGCTATATGTTCTCAGATTAGCCAGTGAGAGGAAGCAAGTTTGTTACGTTTTCTCTCTTCTTCTAACTCACATTGAATTCATTACACAAAAAGCCACTCCTTACGAGCATTTCATAACACACAAACTGGAAAACTAATGCAATGTACCTCCTCGAGTCCAGAAACCCCATAGAATACAAGGAGATTTCTCCAATAAGAGCATAATCTGGCACCATCATAGCCACCGTCCGGAATAAAGCCTGGAAAAGAAATAACTGATCAGAATCTGAATACATACAGGGAATACTTTGAGGATGAACATCTACAAAGGCAAAGGGAAGTACTATGACCATTCAGGTTATTCTAGTCAAAGAAAGGAGAGCAGAGACTATCTTCAATGGACAGACAACCTGCCCACTGGCTTGTCCAGGTACATGATAGTATATCAGATCTTTTGATAGCTCTCTGGAAGGGCCTAAGTGCTGGTATTCCAATAACACCCCATTCTATGAAAAACAAGGATATTTCATGGGATTGAACAACTGTTGGAGCTTCCAAGTTCACAAGAAGTCATTTAGGAATGCATGAGAAGAATCCTAAAGTCAGGTAGATCACACTTTGAGTTCTTGTTCAGCAGCTGACTAGCTGTAGGCAAGTTACATAACCCCTCTAAATCTCAGTCCTTTCATTTCAAAGTAACAGATGAACATGGTCACAGAATTACCATTAGAACAAATGATATAATGGAAGTGAAGTATATCTTGAGTACTCAATAATCATAAGCTATTAAGCTATTGTATTGTTAGATTTTAGAGGTCAAGTGGCTTGCCAGAGTTATACAGCCAGAATTCACTATTTCACACATCCTGTGTCTCATGAAAGTCACTTGTGCAGATCTAACATGGCTACTGGCTGAGACAAATGCAAAGGGGTGCTTACAATAATTGGGTTGTTAAAAAATGAGAAATGGCCAAGCCCCAGTGGTGCATGCCTCTAATCCTAGCTACCCAGGTGGCTGAGGTCTGAGAATTATGGTTCAAAGCCAGCCCAAGCAGGAAAGTCTGTGAGATTCTTATCTCCAATTAACCACCAAAAATCCAGAAGTGGAGCTGTGGCTCAAATGGCAGAATGGCTGGGCACCAGTGGCTTACACTTGTAATCCTAGCTACTCAAGGAGACTTGAAATCTGAGGATTCTGGTTCAAAGCCAGCCTGGGCAGGAATCTCCATGAGACTCTTATCTCCAATTCACACACACACACAAAAGCTGGAAAGAGCTGTGGCTTTAGTGGCAGAGCACTAACCTTGGGCTGAAAAAGCTCAGGGACAGTGTTGGGGCCCTGAGTTCAAGCACAGGACCAGCCAAAATAAAAAAAGGCAGAGTGCTAGCCTTGAGCAAACAAGTTCTGGGAAAGTGCTCAAGGCCCTGACTTCAAGTCCTGGGACCTACTTGAAACAGAGAGAGAGAAATTTGGGGGGCAGGGAGAAAGGGATCTAAATTCTACTTTGGTACTTGCTGGCCTATGCTGACCTATAGGAAAGGAACACTTCATGGATTTCCTTAACTGTCCTATTTTTAGATAAAAGTCTATGTGAATGAGATTCCAATGCACTAATCATAGTGCATGTCTAGCAGGCAGAGAATCATATGCTAGTCGGTGGATAGAGGGGTGGCTGTGTCTCCTATTGCTTCCACCCAAAGGGATGGAGCAATATAGTAGCATTGAATCTATAAAGGACATGTGTGGAAGTCTCTCTTTCCAGCTAGGTGGCAGATGCTCTCCTATAAAAGACCTGGCCACTCTCTTGTATTTTTGCCTTCAATGAAAGCAGCATGCTAAGGCTATCTAGACCCATCTGCCTCTGAAGGTCTGGAAACTACTTCATTTTAATTAGCTTCATAGGCTCAGTCCTATGCATTGGAATTTGATGTTATTTTGTATATAGATTTACTTTATATGTCTAGAGTACTTTTTCTTTTATTAAACCAAGATCTTAAAAAAATCAGATTTCATAAAACAAACCCAACTTCTAGCTACTTCTGGAAAGAAAATGAGGCCCAACATCTTGTTTACCAGTAGTAGGTTGGACCTAAAAGGTGGCTGTTGCTTCTTGATGGCCCATTCACCTGAGTCCCTACTGTGCCTAAGTTGCTTCTTTGATTTATATCACCAGTCAGCTCCCTGTTAGCAGTAGAAATGGTGACTTTTTATTGCTGTGATTGTGCTGGAACTGGAGCTTGAACTCAGGGCCTGTATGCAATCCTTTAATTTTTTGCTCACCACTTGATCTGCAACACCATTTTCTGTTTTCTGCTGGTTAGTCAGAGATAAGAGTCTCATGGACTTTCCTGATAGGGCTGGCTTAGATCTTAGCCTCCTGAGTATCTAGGATAATAGGCATGAACCACCAGCACTAGTGAAATGGTGGTTTTAATTCTAGTGTTCATTGTTTCCTGTTTGCCATTGGTCATTAAGTATGTATTCATCCTTCTCCAGGAGACCCTGTTGGGTAGCTGTGTTCTGGGACCAAGATTTTACTACCATTAACATTCTACTATCCCTTCTTACAACTAAAAAAAATATAAAACAAAAAAAATGCCTCCTGTTACTGTTGCAATTCTCTATGAGATCTTCTGATGCACACTTCCAGAAAGTTCTATATTATAAAGTATCCATGCTATATAAAATTCAAGATCATGCTTACCTTGAGGTTATCTGGCAGCTCAGCCCTGCCAGCATATCCAGGGTTCATGGTGATGAAGACAGCACAAGTTGGGTTCAGAGAGAGCTCAGTGCCTTCAAAGATGAAGGTCTTCAGCTTCCGGATAATGGCTTGTTGAATGCTAAGGATCTGCTGGGCTACCACAGACAGCACTTCTACCTGTGGTGAGAGGGCCTGGCTGATGGAAATTCTACATGGGTCCCCCTAACTTAGCAAAAAAAGAACCCATCACCTGCCTGGTGCCAATGACTCACACCTGCCATCTTAGCCTCACGAGGTTGAGATCTGAGGATTGTGGTTCAAAATCAGTCTGAGTAGACCTGTGAGATTCTTATCTCCATTTAACACCAAAAAGCTGGAATTGGAAGCATGGCTCAAGTGGTAGTTGACCAGCCTTGAACAAAACAGCTAAATGACAGTACTCAGGTCTGGAGTTCACATCTCACAAAAAATAAATAAAAATAAAACAAAAATCCCATCACCTGAAAACCAGTCACATACTCAAAATGGAAGCATGGTTTGGGGTTTGGCAAAGAAAAGGAAAACTGGTCTGCAAGTGTGTGTGTGTGTATGTGTGTGTGTGTGTGTGTGTGTGTGTGTGTGTATTATACAGTAGTTTTTGTTTCAGCACCACGGCTGGCACTGAAGAAGTATTCAGTGTTTACTGCTTCAATTGATATGTTTACATGATCACCCACACTTTTGTGATGTGTCCTTTGATGATTACTGTGGTATCATAGACTGCTGTCATATTCTATTTGTTTCATTTAATTTGTGTGTGCGATTTGTACTTAGCACCTCCTGTTCTTGGGTTTTGGTGGGGGTTTTTTCTCAAGGATGATGCTCTACCACTTGAGCCACACTTTGATTTCTGGCTTTTTGCTGGTTAATTAGGGATAGGAATCTCTTAGACTTTTCTTCCTGAAATGGCTTCAAATTACAGTCCTCATGTCTCAGCCTTCTGAGTAGCTAAGATTATAGGTGTGAGCCACTGGTACCTGGTTTAATTTTTATTTCTTATTACTAGACTGTAATCACTTACAGGGCAAGAATATGTCTATGCTTCTTGGTATCATAAACACATACAGCTTCTCAATAAATTTTTGAATGTGTCAGTGAGTGAATGGATAAGGAGGTGAAGAGATCTGTATAACATATACATTCAGTCTCCTCGTCACTGTTTAGATTGAGTTCATTAAGTACCTACACTGTTCAAGATTCATAGAGGAAACATAAACCCTTGTTACTAAAGAGCTGAGAACCCAGCAAAAGATCCCTGAACAATCGCCTCTTCCATATTGTAGCTGAGCAGCGTAGTTACCTCAATCCTGTTGAATTCGTCAAAACATGCCCATGCTCCAGCCTGGGCCAGGCCCTTGAAGAACTTCCCCATGGCCTTGTAATCCAAACCATCAGAACAGTTGAACACCACACACTGAAAAGCAAAAAAAAAAAAGGAGCATGAGGGTCCCATTCAGGATGAAGTCCATTACACCTGTTTCAGTGACACCATAAAACAAGGTGTTAGCCCAATAAGCTCTCTTCCCATAGCTTAGGACCCACCTTCCCCTCTCCACAGCTTAGCATGCTCCCTTCCTAAGCAACATCGGGCCCCTATAGTAAAGGCAGAAAATAATCAGCCCCCAACCCCTTCTACCTTGGGATGACACTTCTCTGGGGCAGCTACCACCATATAAGGCAACAGGAGCCCCTTGGAGTGACCTTCAGGTCTGGGCAGCTGCAGGCCCCTTATCTACTACTTGGGCAGCAGCCATAAAGCCTAGTCCACCATGATGAAGCCCCTGGCCCTCAAGTCCACACCAGGGTCTCTGCCTCCTAGCCCCTGCTAGACCTAGGTTATGTAGGTCACTTCAGACAATAGACGTTGCTTCTTCTCACTTCTCCCTTGTGAGAAGGGGTCTTGCTGGCCCCTTTTCCGGCAATAAACATTTCTTTGTTCTCTGTACCTGGTTATCTGCGTGGTTTTCTGGCAAAGTCTAATATACTCTAATACGAGGGGGAGGGTGCATCTCTTGTACTACGGAACGAGATGGAGCCCCACTCTGCCTGTTACATTAAATTATCCTGAACTTCATGCTCATGTTCTTGGACAGAGGTTCAGAGAGGACAGAAGGAGAAGCAGAGATGGTTAACATTTCTCTACCTGCTTGGCCAATGCTTTGGCCAAATCTTTGGTGGTTTCTGTCTTGCCTGTTCCAGCAGGGCCCTCTGGAGCTCCTCCAAGGTTCAACTTCAAAGCTCCCATCAGTGTCCTAGGGAGAAGAAAACAGGAAACTTGGTATCCAAGGAGAGATGCCAACATTTTTTCCGGAGGAGGGGGAAGAGGTTGGAGGGTGGGGGAGGGGGAGTTTGCTGATCCTGGGGCTTAAACTCAGGGCCTGGGTGTGGTCCCTGAGTTTATTTTCCTCAAGGCTAGAGCTCTACCACTTGGGCCACAGATCCACTTCCAGCCCCCCACCCCTTCTTTTTGGTGTTTTTTGGTGGTTAATTGTAGATAAGAATCTCACTGATTTTCATGCCCAGATTAGAAACCAGCTTCTTATTCTATTGAATCATATAAACAGTTGAAAACTTGCTCCTAATTATACAACCAATATGTCATCATCATTTAAAAAATCTGTTTTATTCAGCATTGTAATCTGAGTTTAGCATAGTGCTTGGCACATCATGGCTCCTATAAGCATGTCTAATTGAATGATTGAATAGATAAAGGAATAGATAGGTAGAGACATAAGTGAATCAAACAGAAGTGAGAACCATATTCCATAGTCCAAAGATTGCTGGGGCTAGTGAAATGGTGAAATAAATATATTTCCTCTAAAGTGCTCTTGAGTTCAGGAAACATACTTTAATTAGTTCCATATCCTCAGTCAAAATATACAGTGGCTGAAATGAATGATGTAGCAAAACTAGTCCCATAACCCTTGGTAAAGGTACATTGATGTGGCACTAGGGATTGAACTCAGGGCCTTGTGCATACAAGATAAACTACCACTTTAGCCCTGGCCCTGTCCTGATATAACCATAACTTCAGTTAACACACCATCTTATAACTTTCTTTTGCTTATTTTCTTGAGGCAGGTTCTCACATAGTACCTGCTTGCCTCCAATGCTCTATGTAGGCTCATGATCCTCCTACCTTAGACTCCTAAGTGTTGGAATTACAGTTGTGCACAGTTGGCTCTTAACAATCTTCTGAACGTGTCTCCCCCATGTTTGTTAGGTCATGCATGTTGCACAGAAAAATTTAAGAAATGGTTGTTTAGGAGAACTATAGTTATTAATATTGTGTCTTATTTAGAGTATTTGCTAAACTGGTAGAGTAAAATTGCTCTTGCCACAGAGAGGAAAATAAACGTGTAAAGTAACAGATATGTTATTTTTCCACTCTAGTGATCATATTACTATATATGTAGTTTATAATACTTTGTTAAATATCTTGACTTTACATAACAATTTTTTTAAAAGACACTGTTGTGGAATAATTAGTAGAAAAAATGACGAGAAAAAAGTCACAGAATAGGAAACAAGTGACTAAAGATCTTAAAAGAAGAAAATATAGCTGGGTGGTGGTGGCTAACACCTGTAATCCTAGCTACTCAGGAGGCTGAGATCTAAGGATCATGGTTCAAAGCCAGCCTGGGCAGGAAAGGTGGTGAGACTCTTCTCTCCAATAAACCACCAGAAAACTGGAAGTGGCACTGTGGCTCAAGTGGTAGAGCGCTTGCCTTGAGCTGAAGAGCTGAGAGACAGCGCCCAGGCCCAGAGTTCAGGCCCCATGATGGCCAAAAAAAAAAGAAGAAGAAGAAAATACTCAAGTACATTATTATTATTTTGTATTAGTACTGGGGCTGTCACTCAAAGACTGGGCACTACTTGCTCAAGACTAGTTCTTTACCACTTGAGCCATGGCTCCACTTTAGGCTTTTTGCTGGTTAATTGGATATAAGAGTTGCACTTTTCTGTGCAGGCTGGCTTTGAACCCTGATCCTCAGATTTCAGCCTCTTGAGTAGCTAGGATTAAAGGCATAAGCCACCAGTGCACAGTTCAAATATTATTTTTATAATGTAAATGCCCTGTGAGGAAAAATACAAAAGTGAAAGAAAATCTGAACATTGCTAATTAACAGGTTCACAAAATCCAGGTTTCTAATGTTAGGAATGCAAAGGAAAGAGGCATAGTACTCTGCTGAGCATAGAATGACAAGTGTCTCTTCGCCAGACTAGCTATGAAGCTTGGAGAGTCATGTTTCAGGGCTCCTGACCCTTCTGGGTCAACCATTTGGCCACAGTTATTTGCAGGCATCATCTTGGTTTCTGCCATTGTAAAACCTGCTACTTGAGAGCATCATGGCATTTTCAAAATCATTCTGCAATGTTCTTCTATTTGCTCCCAACTTATCAATGTATTGTATATTTCCATTTCTCATCTGAATGCCCAGTTTCCATGCCCACTATGGGACCATGGGGACAAAAGGTAAAATTCTGAACTCAGAAAATCTAAAATATAGATGCTAATAAACCCAAGGACATTCCCATCCTTCCTCCCAGACCCTTTTTCACTCCTGAGTTCTTTGTTCACCTCTCAAGCTAAATGCCCCAGGCTTTACCTGTAGCAACGATCAGTCAGAGGTGTGATCACCAGCCGGGGTGAGTTTCCCAGGTATTCATAGCCATATAAAGCTTCAGTGGTTATCATCTGCACATATACATCCTTTGATTGCCAGTAGTAGCGTAGCTGTGAGATCCACTGGAAATCATTCAGATTACAGACCTTATCCTCAGCTAACTTGGCCACCACATCACGAGCTATTGGAATACCATGAAGAAACACAACACACAGAGCCATCAGAATCCCCCATCTCCATATCGTCCTTAGAAGAAGATGATATCGAGGCCACCTCTCTGTCCAGGCTATTTCAAGTTTCTACCATGTTCCCAGTCCTGCTCAACCTACAGGCAATACTGTATTTTAGAAGTCTGTCTTTACTTTCTCCCATGGAGCTGAACATAGAATCTGCTGTGTATTATTCTTTCTGATAGCGAAGTAAAGGTACTAAATATGTATACTCTGAAATCAGTCTGCCTGAGTTCAAATTCTGGTTCCACCATAAACTAGCTATGTTAATTACTCTGCTGCACAATCTGTAAAATTAGGTTAACATAATATCCACCTAATACTGGTTTTATGAGGACTGAATGAATATATACAAACATATAAAATATTATACAAAGCCAAGCACCAGTGGCTCATGCCCATAATCAGGGGGCTGAGATCTGAGAATTGTGGTTCAAAGTAGCCTGAAAAGGTCCAAAGAGCCCGAAGTAGAGCTGTGGTCCAAGTGGTAGAGTGTTCGCCTTGAGCAGAAAAGCTCAGGGACAGCACCCAAGTCCCAGTACCAGCACCCAAAAAATATTATGTAAGTATTATATTATCTACTGTTAATCCCAAATTGGATGAGGGATGGACTCAGAGACTTTGAACTATGTAGTGACCACAAATGCCCTCAGATCCCCAGTATGCCTTTTTACCTCTAATGAAACTGCTGAGGTAGTAAGCACAAGCGGTATGTCAAAAATCCACAGTAAAAAGTATTCCTCCCTGCCAGGGCCTGAGGAATCAGCTAGGAGACAGATACATTTCATGTTTTTTCCTTTTTTCTCATTGGCTGTGGAACTAATTTTTAACAGTGACAGAAGCCCTGAAGCTGAAGAGTGGATATAGGTTTATGAAAATCATTCTATTTCAGGCGACTCACAAGATGAGGATTGTTGATCTGTCTAAACTAGTACAGTAGGCTCAAGTTTAGGATCTCAAAAACATGACTTTGCAAAAAGACACCTTTGCAATTTTACTGCCTCTCTGAGAAATAAGTTTTTTATAACAGAAAAACCCAGAATCTTAGAACATTATACTAGAAGTTTTCCTTCCTTTGTAAAAAATAGACCAGCCCCTTGGGGGTTCTGTGTGTGTGTGTCTGTGTGTGTATCTGTGTCTGTGTCTGTGTGTATGCTTGTGTACGTGTGTGTACACTGATCCTAGGGCTTGAAGTCAGGGCCTAGAAGGTGTTCTTTATTTTTTCTGCTTAAGCTTTGCACTCTACTACTTGAGCCACACTTTTACTTCTGGCTTTTTGATAGTTATTTGGAGATAAGTTTTGTTTTGTTTTGTTTTTTGGTTGGTCAAGGGGCTTGAACTCTGGGCCTGGGCGCTGTCCCACAGCTCTTCAGCTCAAGGCAAGCGCTCTACCATTGGAGCTACAGCACTACTTCTGGTTTTCTGGTGGTTAATTGGATATAAGAGTTTCACAACCTTTCCTGCCAGGGCTGGCTATCCCCAGATCTCAGCCTCCTGAGTAGCTAGGATTACAGGTGTGAGCCACTGGTGTCGGGCCCGTGGTAGCTTTGAACCGTGATCCTCAGATCTCAGCCCTCCTGAGTAGCTAGGATTACAAGTATGAGCCATCAGCATCTAGCTCAGATTCTTTTCTTTTCTTCTTTTTTTCAGGTCCAAGACCAAGACTCAAACTCTAGTATCTGCATGTTTGGCTCATTGGCTAGTACTCTACCAACTTAGCCATGCCTCCAGCCATACTTGTCAGATTCTTAAGAGAACTCTTTGGGAGGTGACAGGAGTAAGATCTGCATGAGAATTCAAAGAGGAAAGTGACTCTCTAAGGATCAGCTCAGAGAAGTTGCCTTTGTTATGCATTGTGTGCTTGTGTTTGTTTGTGTTGTGAACCCAGCTACTCTGGGGTCCCCTGGGCTATAACTTTATCCACATCTCTAATCCCTACCAGCTAGGTGTGTGGGTGTGTGAAGTATACATTTCCTTCTCCTCTACCTCTGATTTTATGCTCATCTATGTGGCTGAAATCAGATTGCAGTAAGCATCAGCCCTGAGAGAATAAGATGCTGTGGCATGCCAGTAGGAAGCTGCTTGTACGAGTGAGAGACTGTTTCTAGGCAACCAGCCTGGTCCAGCCTTGTTTCCTTGGTGATGATGTTGTGATTATGTGGAGGTGGTTTGTTTATATAAAGACCCCAATTCTTTTTCATCACCATCTTTTTGGTTTAGGGAATAGCTAGAAGGCATAATCTCTCACCAAGCGACTCCTTCCTGCATCACTGCCCATACTAGCTCATTGGGTTTGAAATAAGACAGAGGAGTGTCTTGTCATTTACTCTGTGGCTCCCAGCAAGTTACTTCCCTCTCTGGTGTCCTTTTTTTTCTATGCCAGTCTTGGGGCTTGAACTCAGGGCCTGGGTAGTGTCCCTGAACATTTTTTGTTCAAGGCTAGCAATCTACTTCTTGAGTCCTATCTCTACTTCTGGTTGTTTTGGGTACTTTATTGGATATAAGAGTCTCACAGAATTTCTCGCCTGGTCTGGCTTCAAATCATGATCCTCAAATCTCAGCCTCCTAAGTAGCTAGGATTACAGGTGTGAGCCACCAGAGCCCACTGAGTACCATGTTCTTAATCTAGGAACTAGATGTGAAATGAGATAATGCTCAGTGATGACTTAGCACAAATCTTGGGTCCCAGTGAGTATTCAAATGCAAGGAAAACATTCATTAAGTTGGGGACACTCAGAAAAGGGTTTGGACATCAGGACCTCAGCAAGATCCCTGCTTGAAGTGTTCCCGTGTGGAAGGGGGAACTGTAAGGTGGAGATACATAGGGTTTCGGGCAAGACTTGGTCCTTAGCCCTTTGTCTTATTGTCATTCATTTGGAGAAGCTTGACCCTGATGGATTAGGAAGCCCCAAGTCATTGCATTCAAGAGAACTGAGAGGCCAGCCTGGCTGCCATTGCTAGGCAGTCAATAACACCAGGGGAAGTCTCTGTGCTTACCATGGACATCAATGACCGTGAGGGCCCCAAGAGTGAGTCGAGCTCCGCTGCTCAGCTTTCCCCGCACCAGCTCAACAATCTCTGCAATCTGATTATTGCTCTTTTTCAGAAAATCCTGGTCAAGGTACAGGTGAGGACAATCAATTAAGTTGGATTTTCTTCTAGCAATCACTAATTCAGGGATTGACAGTCACAATGACCACCCAATGTCCCAAGTCAGACTCTTGGATGTCATCCTGCAAAACATCCTATCCTATGCCTCTAGGGAAGTGAATGGGTCAGGATTTGAACCCAGTTATCTCTCTCTCTCTCTTGCTCTTTTTGTCAGTCATGGGGCTTGAACTCTAGTCCTTGGCACTGACCTGGAGCTTTTCAGCTCAAGGCAAGCACTCTACCAGTTGAGCCAAGGCACCACTTCTAGTTTTCTGGTGGTTAATTGGGGATAAAAGTCTCATGGACTTTCCTGCCCAGGCTGGCTTTGAACCACGATCCTCAGATCTCAGCCTCCTGAGTAGCTAGGATTACAGGCATCAGCCACACGTGCCCGGTGATCTTGATCTTTGAAGTGTTGACAATGACCAACTGAAAATATACATGTTTGAGTCTGAGACTAGACTTGTTTGGCCCTGAGGTGGTAAGAAGAGGGCAGTAGTGAAGGAAAAGAGGAAGACAGTAGTCTTCTGGCCTAATAAAATAATAGGGAGTCTCCATTATCGGAAATTCTGCCAGTTTGATCCCTTGAAGCAAAAGCTGATAAAACTTAGAACCCTGAATAAGAGAAGGAGTGATATTGTCCAAAAAGAAAAGTATTCATTACCTGACTTGTGTAACTGTAATCTCTATGTATATCACCTTTATAATAACCATTAAAAGAAATTTAAAAAAAATTAGAACCCCGCAGTTCAGAATTTCTATCTAGGAAAAACTCCAAGTAGTCTTGAACCACAGGCTTCCAGAATGTCTGTAATTCCAAATTCTCCATCTCGCTGTCCCTTTGTGAACTCGCACTTCTGTGAGACCATGGTTCAAATTATTATTATTATTATTATGGTTTAGAAAACAAAATAGGCTTATTTGAATTACACATTATTCAGCTCCTAACTGATGCCCAGACCTCCCTCTTCTGCAAGCATCATGGCAGGCTTACTTACTGGTAGGGTATGTCCTTCCAGGGCTTCTGATACCTCCTTGGTCCAAAAGATTGAGGAGACACAGATCACCACCTGGCCAGGCCACTCCAAGACCCAGGAGTTTCGAGGGACCTAGGAAGAAAGGCTTGTTGTAGGATCAGACTTCATAGGAGATTTAAGATGACTTTCTAAGTACACACCTCACTGCAGCACACTGACAATGAAAACAAAATCTCCCCCCCACACCCTCAAATTCAAGATTTGACATCTCTGGGATTGCTGATTTATGTCTTCCTCCCTAAAGTTTATGGAAAAGAAAAAAATATATCAATCTCCTCTGCTCTCTGGCTTGCCTTTTTTACTCAAGGCTGGTGCTCTACCACTTGAGCCATACCTCCACTTCCAGGGTTTTTTTGCTTATCCATTAGAAATAAGAGTTTCTCAGAATTGTCTGCCCAAGATATCTTTAAATCCCAACCCTCAGATCTCAGCCTCCTGAATAGCTAGAATTATGATGCAAGCATCAGTGCCCGGCTTCCCTTCAATTTTTTATTTAGAAGGTATTTTCAGAAAAAGGATTGGCCTGTCATTTTCACTGTGAGGGACAGTGAGGTTGATCCTGAATAGTTTAAAATGAAAGTACCAATTAAGTACATTTAAGTTTGATGAAAGGGAGTGAAGAATGGGAAGAGGGGCCTAGAAGTAAGAAGAGGCAATTGAAAGCAGAGGTAAGAAGCCAGATGTTGGTGGCTCAAGCCTGTAATCCTAGATGCTCAAGGGGCTGAGATCTGAAGATCACAGCTTAATGCCACTTTAGGCAAACAAAACTTTGAGATTTTATCTCTAACAACCAAAAAGCCAGAAGTGTGGGTCCAGTGGAAGAGCACCAGCCTTTAGTAAACAAGCCAAGCAGAGCAAGAGGCTCTGTCTGAGTTCAAGCCTCAGTACTGGCACCAAGGGCTGGGGAGGTGGGGAGGGGGGGATTTAATGTGGCAACAAGAACCTTGCTGGAGGATAGCCAAAGAGTTGTTGTAACAAAGTTTTTCCTCTCAGACTTTGTGTCCCACTTGTTTCTCTTTAGTCTTTGGGAACTTGAGTTACACAGCAAAAGCTGAATTGGAAGGGTATCATGTGACAGGAAAGTTAAGCCTGCAGTAATAAAAGAGCTATCACTAACCCTTTCTCTCTTTTTTTTCTTTTTGATACCAGTACAGAAGCTTGACCTCAAAGCCTGGGTGCTGTCCCTGGGTTTTATTTGGCTCAAGGCTAGTGCTCTACCAACTTGAGCCACAAGCCCAGTTTTGGCTTTTTGGTGATTAATTGATGAAAGTCTCATGGACTTTCTTGCCCTTGATGGCTTCAAACCATGATCCTCAGATCTCAGCCTCCTGAGTAATTAGGATTACAGGCATGAGCCACCAGCACCCAGTAAAATCACCTCTCTTGAATCTCCTACTTTCTTGTTTTGTATTGTTTTGTCGGTCAAGGGACTTGAACTCTGGGCCTGGGTGCTGTCCCTCAAGCACTCTATCACTTGAACCACAGCACCACTTCCGGTTTTCTTGTGGTTTATTGGAGATAAAAGCCTCATGGCCTTTCCTGCCCAGGCTGGCTTTGAGCTGGATCCTCAGAGCTCAGCCTCCTGAGTAGATAGGATTATATATGTGAGCCACCAGCGCCTGGCTTGAATCTCTTACTTCTAACAGCAAATATTTAACTAGAAATGCATTCATTACATCAGGACTTTACAGGAAAAGGACTGAGAGGCACAAAGGGTATGTTTCAGTAGAAGACAAAATGAACTGATCCACTTAACCTTCTTCCCAGAGTTTCCTTTACAATACTTCTTTATCACATGTACACTAATGCTTGTTTACCAGGGTATATGCGTCAATCCCAAGTCCAATAACATCCCTCAAGCTGGCAAGCATCATCTGTTCCACATGCTGTAGCCACTTTTCCACCATTCCCTGCAAGACAAGGCAGACAGAGAAAGGCAGCAAGTCAACTGAAGCCCAGGGGAGGAATTGTGGGAAAAACCTAAGTAGTACTCTTTGTCCTCTGCTCACGCTCCTCTCTCCCATTCTCTCTCCTTCCCCTTT